CTCACAAGGCCCAAAGAGCCGCAAGCGTTCCAGAAGGGCGCGGAATGCCAGGGACACCTGGGGCTGGGGACACCTTTGGAAACCCCCACTCGTGACGCGGGGCCCCGACCTCGCGACCACGTCCTGGGGACCAGTTTTTCATCGCGAGTCGTTGTTGTGGCGGTCCCGCGGGCACGGTAAGGGCCCCGAGAGGCCGAAAACTATGAAAAACCTCTGCTAACTGCTCGAGGCGCCGAACGCTTGGTCCTGGCAAGCCCCGCTGTGCTGAGGCAGAGGCCTCGGGAAGCTTTCAAGGGTCTCGACCTCCAGTTTGGACGCCGGAAATGAGTACGGAAAAAATGGGCACAATGCCCAGCAACAAATGCTGTCCCAAACCAACACCGGCCGCTGTTGGGCAGGCGGCCCTCTGTCTCGAATGGACACAGGCCGCGGACAGCGAGTCCTGGTCAGAATGAACAGGAACTGCTGTTGGGCACTGCTTGCCATCGCTCGGACGTCCATTTCCCGTGCACTTTCTCGGTTTCGTGCGCGTTTTTGCCTTGCTCGCTGGTCCAGGGTGGTCCTCGAGGGTTCTCGCCGACAAAAAAAACGCACGCGCCCGAGCGATGCCGAGACTGTGTCCCGCGAAGCCCTGGGGCGCTGCCTTCTCGAACTCGCCCGCTCGGCGGCCTGGGCCCGCTCTTGTTGGCCGCCGAGCGCGGGCCCTCGCTGTGGCCCACCTCGGCCGCCGAGCGCGGACCGCGCCTCGCGGCCACCTTGCCGTGATCGAGCTCCCTCCGCTCGGCGGTCGACTGCACGGGGCTCCCACCTTTGATCTGTCGCCTGCACGCCCGTGACCTGCACCGCCCCCCACCCGCCCACCCCGCACCCCCCCTCTTGGTCACGTCACGAGCTGCGCCGGCGACGTGCGGGAACGTGGGCATCCCTGAACGCTCCCAGACGGCGCAGGCGCGAATCGCGGCGTGACTGGCCTTCTGCCCCCCCCCCTCAGGGCCACGCCGTGGGGATGAAAAGAAGGGCTCCAGACACCGAGCGGACCCAGAAGATGGCCTGGCCTAGACCTCAAGTTCTTGAACACAGAAGCTCACTGCTCTGGTATGCCTCTGCCGCTTTGGCGTCTGGCTGGGGGCAATTGGGAAATTGTCTGGTTTCGGGGCCATCAAAAACAGACCTCGGGCGAGCAATTGATGTACGCAAGAGCTCTGTGGCCCACGAGTTGACCTACCCCGAACAAGAAGACGCCAGAGGTTTAGAGAGAAGGAATAGGCACGGTGCACGCTCGATCCTGCCAGGCGGCTTCAGCCAAAATGCATACAGAAATTAGCTCCATCGAGGAGAAGAAAGGAGGTACAGGAATAGAGAAAGAGCCCCAACACTCCCTCCTTGTCCTCCGTCCAACCATTGCTCTTCCATCGCCCCGCCCCCGCAGGAGGAAGAGGATGGAGTGAGGGAGATCGGTGATGACGAGGAGGAGCGTGGCGAGCACGAGGAAGGAGATAGATATATGGGATATGAAAGGTAAAGGAGGGGATGGAGGAGGAGCGTGAAGAGCACGAGGGATGAAAAAGACGAGGATGAGAAAGAACAGGAGAAATGGAGGAGGGGATCCGGGGCACGTAATGAGGTGGAGAGGAACACGACGGTAAGACATCAGAGGATGAGGATGAGGGGGAGGTCGCAGAGGGCTAGGCAATGGGAATACAAGCAGCTCGGATGCAAGAGATGGAGGATGTGCAAATTGAGAAGGGATGCATGAAGGGGGAATAGGAGGGGCAGGATGTCGAGAAGGACGAGGCAAACGAGAAATGTGAGGAGGGGGAGATGAAACAGATGCGGATGAGTAAGGTCGATCTGGGCAAAACTCTCTGCCGTATGCATGTAGCGGTGTGGTTGCAGCCTCCGACGGCTCCCGACGGCCTCCGATCTTCCGCTTCGTCACCAGCACTCTGGAGTTCCAGCAAACGGATACGACGCACGGGGCAGCGCAGAAGGAGGGCACGCAGCATCATCAACAAGAAGAGCCAGTCGCAGCGATGCACCTGGCGAGGGCCTGAGGGGGCACGTCAAGGGGGAGGGCCGCTCGGGGGGGGGGGAGAAACATCGAGCTGGGATCGGCGGTGCATCGCCGATAGGTCGGCGATATGCCCCAGGAGGAGAGCACGCATGCTCCTGGGCGGGGGGGGTGGAGATCGGGCTCCCATCGGCGATGACTGGGTGCCTCCCCCCCTCACAGATTCCCTCCTGACGTGGCCCGGAGGGCCGCCGAGAGCCTCTCTGGGACTTGGTGGCGAGGCAACCGCCGGGGCTCGACGAGGGACCTGCGATCGAACCACATTTGGGACCCTGGGCGGAGGCGCCGACTGCGCTGGCCATGCACCGTGGCGGATGCCTCCGCCTGCTCGTCCGCGTCATCCTCCGCCTCCGCCTCCTCCGCCTGCGCCTCCTCCGCATCATTCTCCTCCGACCCTGGTTCGCCTCCTCCTCCTCCTCCTCCTCCTCCTCCTCCTCTTCACCGTCCCCTCTTCTTCCCCTCCTCCTCCTCCAGCTGCAAGGGTGATGGGCGCCCACTTGGCACTCGCACAGCGTTCACTGCATACCCACGATTAAGTGTTGGGTCCTAGTACGAACCGCTAGCTCGCACAACAAAAGCCAGAGGGGGCTCACCACTCCAGCTATCCGAGGGCCACGTCAGGGCCAGAGCTGAAGCTTCTACCATCCCCGTGTCCCCGACCTATGGCGGGGCCATCCGGCCGCACGTGGGTCAGCCAGGCAACCAGAATGGCATGTGAGCCCTGCCCCCGCAGGCCAGATTTCAGAGCAACCGGCTGGGGCTCAGACTTCAAAGACAGCCTGCACCCAAGTGAACCCCAGCGGGGGTGTCCGATACCCGAGCGCTGATCGGTCGCAAGTGGTCGCAGATCAGCTGCCCCATTGCCTGAGCCAGCGGCAAGGAAGATCGCAGCGTGCACGACGTCTTTTCCGTTTTTTTGGGGGGGAAGGGGGCGCAACCACAGCTCTCCACGCAGCTCGGCCCCCGCAGCGCTGCGAAGCAGAGAGGCCCCGAGGCGCACTGGGAGCACCGCGCATGGCCGGCCTGCATGCTGCAGAAGCCCAGGCAGCGAGCTGTGCCCAGACCTTCGGCGTCCAGCTCTTGCTTCACGGCGCTGGCCCCAGGAGCCATCGACCCCATCCCCGAGGCAGCCTTGCTGTGACAAAGCATGCTCCTCGAACCCCGAGAGTTCGGAGGCTGCCTGTGGTCAGGTGGTGCCCAGCGGGGTGTCAGGTGCTGCAACATTGGACGCCCGAATTATCCGGGGTAACTCGGGTCCGGGGTAACTCGGGTTTGGGTTCCCGGAAAACGAACCCGAGTTAACCCTGACCTGAGTTATCCCTGATGATTCGGGGCTCTGGACGCCCGAAATATCCGGGGTAACTCGGGTCCGGGGTAATTCGGGTTCGGATTCCCGAAAAACGAACCCGAGTTATCCCTGACCCGAGTTACCCCTGACGATTCGGGGCTCTGACAACATGCTTTAGGCATATGGATAGTATTTGGCAGCACGCCTCTCTCCACTGATCGTCTTCCACAATGCCATTGTTTGTCCTGTCACTCTCGGCGCGCGCCCTCCTGCGAGCCGAGCCCCCCCGCGAGGGCGGCCGCACTCCCTCGGGTCTGTGGGGGCCCGTGGCCCGCGTCGGGGCCCCATGGGATCGAGCCCAGCTGCCAGCGGCCGCCGGAGGTGAGCTCCGTCGCCGACGGCGCTCGCGAGAGGCCCGCGGGGGCCCCAGGCCGCCCCGATACGCCATGCGCAGCCTGTGGCGGGTCGGCACGGAGCCCAAAGAACACAGATTGAATCCATAGGTCCGGCAGGACACGTTCGCCAAGACGTGGACCAGCACCCCAAGTATAGGAGATCGACGAAAGAATGGATGTAGCTCCAAATTTGATTGTTTCGTGAAATCTATGAAACAGACGTGGCAATGTTGTAGATCTACGCGCGCTCTGAATGGTTTCGTGAATCCGACAAACACATCAGTTCTGGGGCGAATGAATTCTGCAAACGAACTCCAACTCGAACACGTGCCGAACCAACACGCAACGTGTTAACACGGACGTCTTGAACACGGCACGTGCTGCAAGCCAGCCCTCAAAGGAGGAAAAAAGGTACCGATACCGGAACCATTCCCCCTCGCGACGGCTGGATTTGGGGCGCGACGTTTGCACATGGTTCGACACAAGACCACGCAGCGGGGGCATATGTACAAAAATGGCACTCCCTGGGGACGCAAACAAGCCAGTCCGGCACAAGGTACGCGGGCAAAGGCGGTGGCCACACATCGGCCCCCGACCCCTCGCCACGGCTGGGTTCACCTGGCCGATCTCCCGGAAACCCTGAACCCAAAAATGTTGTCATCTCATGGGAGGTCGGCTTTTGCTTCCGCCGGCGGAGCCGCCGCCGTTTTGCTTCCGCCGCCTTCCGCCGAGGCAGAGATGGCAGCTCCTTCGATCCTGTCCTCGAAGGCGAGGTCCCTTCTGGAACGCCTCACAAAATATTCGAATGTTGGGGTGACGCCGATATACTCCCTTTCTCGAAGCCCACGCCCGCCACCCCCCCTTCGCTGCCGTGCATAGCGGCAGCCTGCGAGCAGGCAGGGCGGGGAGGTCACGGCTGGGCCCGGGTCTTGCTCTCGAGGCTCCCCGCCCTCTCCGCGGGCTCCCGCTCCTGCTGTTACTCCCCCCCCCCCCCCCTTCTCCGTGCCCCTGCTCCTCTTCCTCGTCGTCCTCCTGCGGCCTCGGCGTCCCCTCCGTCCTCCTCCGCCCTCCTCCGTCCTCTCCGTCACCTCGAGCTCCCCTCTGCATCGCCCCACCACGAGATCCTCCACGGCGAGGCCCCTTCGGCAACGCCCCACCTCGAGATCCTGGCCAGAGCGCACCTCCGGGGAGGCCCGCGGAGCCGCGGGGCCCCTCGGCTCTCCCCGCCCCGCCCGCCCCCCCCCGCCCCCTCCGTTCGAAGCCGGGCGGCGCGCCTGGCCCTCGCGCTCGCGGCCCTCCCACTTCTCCAGGAAGGCCGCGTACGCCAGGCCGCCCTGGAGGCCCAGGAGCGCGCGCCCGGGGCTCCTCCTCCTCCTCCTCCTCCTCCTCCTCCTCCTCCTCCTCCTCCTCCTCCTCCTCCTCGGGCGGGCGGGGGGCGGGGGAGGAGGAGTAGATGAGGGGGAGGAGGAGTAGAGGAGGAGGAGGAGGAGGAGGAGGAGGAGGAGGAGGAGGAGGAGCAGGAGGAAGAGGGGGGGAAACTCGTGGCCGCGGAGCTCGAGGCTCGAGGTCGTCCCTCCGTCGTCGTCGGCCCCCGCGCGGCGTCGTCCAGCCGCGGAGTGCTCGCGCCGGCAGCTGCGCCTCGCCGCGGGCGCGCCGGGGGGTGCCCGGGTCGTCCCGAGCGCCCACCGGAGACCCGAGCTGTGGCCCAACAAGCAGATGCTTACCAGCCTGGAACATATCCCTATCCCTATGCTGGGCACCTCCTCATCACGATGCCAATCTTAGGGACTCCCTTATTTTTTGAGGGCGAAGCCCTAAGATTGTCATCGCCTGTTGGCGTGTCAATCTTAGGGGTAGGGATACGTTCGAGGCTGGTAAGATGCAGCAGCGAGCGAGGGGGGGTGGGAGCGAGAAGCGAGAAGGCCCTCTCAGAAGGCGGCGGGGCTTCTCGGAGGCCCCTGGCGCCTTCGGAGAGGTGCTCCCTGTCTTCGGGGAAGGCTTACGAAACTCCTCAAGGGCCAGGGGGGCTTCCGAGCCTTCTGAGAAGGCCCGCCCCCTCTCGTTTCCCCCCCTCGCTCGCCGCCGGGAAGAGGCAGGGGCAGTGCGAGCGAGATCACCCACGTCAGCTTCGTGCCTGGCTGGCTTTTGCGCTGGCGCACGACGCCGCGCGGATCGTTCGACCTTGAACGATCGCGGGGTTCCAAGATTGCGGAACACTCGATGTCGGCCGATTGAGGCCCGCCAGCGGCGTTCAACCTCGAACGCCTGCGCTGGGGTCGCCGTCGCGTCGTCACGACAGGCTCCTACCGTGCGGCACGCGTCCGCCACGACGGCGAGCGCTTCGAAGTCCCTGTCGCCGCCTGTCAGCTTAAGCCTTCCATGATCCCTGCTTGCCCTGGGTCTCTCGGGACTCGCCGGGGACGTCCCTTTCGGACGCCCGCGTCTGCCCTGCCGACCTGTCCCGAGACTGAAACTGCAGTGGCAGGCACAGGCAGTGACACAGGAGACCAAGGGCAACAAAATGCTACGAGACAGAGGACGAGAGAGAGAGAGAGAGAACAAACAAAAAAACATGAGGCCGCCCGTCGGACTCAAACGGTGGGTGGTCCCGCAGCTGTTCCGCATGAGCAGGCCTCAGGAGGCCCAGAACTGGCCTCTTCAACGTCCAGGGACATCGACCTTCGACCGACGATCGATCGATCGGATTGCGAAGCACCTCCGCCCTGCATGTTTTCAGGACACCAGCGGCCTGGAGCTTACGTACACCCCTGCGTCGGATCCCGAAACTTCTCACCTAGCAGGGAACTTCACTCCAAGCGAGGCCTCAAACAGCAATCGAGGTCCAGATAGACGAAACAGTCGACGAAAAAAAAAAACGCTCCAAGAAAACGCCCTGGGTTACAGTCTTGACTCTCCCTAACGCAATCTGGAGTCCATGAAAACGTGTAAAGATCTCGGGCCACTACGGCTTCCCGCGAGCCGTCTGATGGCCTCTCAAGCCTCGGGTGCGACACCGAGGGGGGGCACGCACGATCGAGCTGCAATCACCCGTCCGCGGCCGAACGCCAAAGATGTGGCAATGCTGGGGGGGGGTGAGACGAGGAACGGGAAGTTTGGCGGAGGACTGCCAGGGGGAGGCCCATCGGCCCGACGCATGGCATCTCTAGACTCTAGACGTCATTCTCCTCATCATCGTCAACCTCCTCAACCTCCTTTTCAGAGTCCTTGTCCCCCTCCTCCTCCTCCTCCTCCTCCTCCTCCTCCTCCTCCTCCTCCTCCTTCCGAGGCCTCCGAATCCCGTGGGAACTGCAGGAGACCTCCTCCCTCCCTCCCCCCTCGCCCCAATCCTCGAACCTCTCCCCCCTTCTCCTCCTCGAAGGAGGGTTGGAGGAGAGGGCAGGTGAGATCCACGCGAAGTTAGTCAAGCAAGTTCTGGCCTGTGGCACGCCGCAATGTCCAATGCGATCGCAGGGAGCCGCGCTGAGAGAAAACCTCGCCGTCAGTCACTCGCTCATCGATTGGTTGACTGGTGTGCACTCTGATCTCCCAGGAAGATGAGGTCGGCGAGTGTCAATCTACTCTTAGGTCGGGCCTGTCCCCCTACAGGGGATTTTGAACGAAAAATAAGAAATATAAAAAAATGCCCCAACATTGTCAAAAAATGCAAAAAATAATAATCCCCACACTATTTTTGTATTATTTTTGTGGCTATTGTTGGGGTATGTTGCAGTTTTCGTCGAAAATCCCCCTTGTAGGGGGACCTGCCCGACATAAATCTACTCTGATCTGATCGTCGATCGATTGGTCGACAGAGCACCATACCTCCCGAGAGGGAGGGGTCGTCGATCTTTGTGTTGCTCTGATCTGGTCGACAATCGATTGGTCGACAGAGCCCCCTATCACCTCCCAAGAGAGGAAGGGGCCGTCGATCTGTTCTGATCTGGTCGTCGATCGATTGGCCCACACAAACCCCTGACCTCTGAGGGCAAACAATATAGGGGGTGGCCCGGCTCAAGGGGGGAGACATCGTCTTGGCCTCGTCGATACATCGTCGATGGATCAGCGATCGACCCCCGATAGCGACTCCGCAAACGTATCTGGGCGGGGTGGGCCATCAGGCGCCTACCGGCGAGCGATTGGGGCTCGAGACTCCCCTAACGTTGTGTATGCCACGACAATGGACACCCTAACAGTCCCATCATTGAATTTAAAATGTAAATAAAATGCCGGAAACATGCTCTAAACATGGTTTAAACATGTATTTACATGTTCAAACCAGGCTTAACACATGTTTAAAGCATCTGGTAATTATTTGGCAACATGCTTCCTCTTCATTGATCGTCCTCCACAACCCTAACGATGCCCCCGATGATGGATCAAATATCGATCCCTGCACCTCTCCCCAGGTGCGCTCTGACCACGGTCTCGAAGCGGATCCAGCCGTGGCCACGAGTGCGCCCCAGGACGATCAAAAGCTTGCAAAGAGCCTGCCCACCAACCTTTGAGCAGATTCCCCTGCTGACCCTGGCCCCGACAGGTGGCGACATCCAAGCCCTGCCCCCGCTTCTCCCGAATCGCTGGGAGGTACGGGCAGGGCTTGGATTTCGCCACGCGTGTTCGACGAACTCCGAACCCCACCTGCCACCCATCCATCGAGTTGCCTGAACCGTGGACCTGCGAGGGCAGGGCTCGGATTTCGCCGCGCGTGTTCGACGAACTCCGAACCCCACCCGCCGCCCGTCGGCTTGCCTGAACCGTTGACTGGCGAGGGTGGGGCTCGGATCCGCATCGCCGATGCATCGGCAATGTACTGGCGATGCATCGGCGATGCACTGGCGATGCAACGCCGACATCGGCGGCGCATCGGCGACGCCGACGTGGAGCAAGGCGGGCTCCTCATCGAGCCGCACCGCCAATGCATCGGCGACGCGGCGCGATCCTCCCGACCCCATCTACTCCGACCCCATCTTAGATGGGGTCGGAGTAGATTCTAGGAGGCCTAGATTCTAGGAGGCCACGGTTCAGTCTAGGCCTCCCAGATTCTAGGAGGCCCAGACTGAACCGTGGACCGGCGAGGGTCGGATCTCGCCTCGGGCCCGAAAACCCCCTCGGGGGGGGGGAGGGCCGCAGACCGGCGGCGCCTGGGACCTCTGGACGTCCCTGCGCGGGGTCGCCCCGCCGAGCTCCCGCTGCTGCTCGGCCCACGCGTCCTGCGGCGGCCCGGGGGGGGCAGAGGGGGGGGGGGCCGGCTCGGGGGCGTCCCGGAGGCGGGGCTCGCAGTTCGTGGCCCGAGGCACGTGCGCGGCCCTGGGGGGGGAGGGGAGGGGGGGGAGGCGGCCACGCAGCCCAGCCCTCCCGGTCATCGCACCCCTCGTGGCCGCCGCGGACTGGCGGCTGCGGGGAGGCGGGGGGGAGGGGCGCAGGGAGCTCAGAGCCCCTCGCGCCGCGCAAACGAAACCTGCCGTCTCTGTCAGTCCTCTGCCTTCGAGGGCCCTCGCCGGGGCCCCTGGGACCGTCAACAGAACGACTCGAGATCTCAATGAGGAACCAGTCCCCAGGAACGGTGTCCAGACGAGCAAAATCGCGCCCCTGGAACTCTGGGCAGAGAGGGAGGAGCACGGGGAAGAGGAGGGGGGGGCGGGGGGGGGCTACGGGGGGGGAGGGCCAGAGAGGGAGGGGAAGGGAGAGGAGAAGGAGAGAGGCTGAGCGGGAGAAGGACAAGCGAGGATGGGACCTTCCGTTCCGAGGCTGGCCTCGCGGGCAGGAGGCGGCACGCAAGTCGCGTGCGTAGAAGGTATGGTCCGGCAGAAGCGCGCGGGTCCGAACAGAGGCAGAGTGGGGAGTGGCACAACCCTTGGGCGTGGCTTCATGGGGGGTCACAAATGGGGGGGGTCAAAAGAGGTCCCTTTCGTGCCCCTTTCGGGCCCCTCCGGAGCCCCATGGGGGCTCGTGTAAGTACCGTTTGGGTACCTTTTCGGACCACCCGCGACACCCCCCCATTTATGACCCCCCCATTACGCGGCGCCCAAAACCCATGAGATAAGTAGCACCGGGCACCTGCGGATCAGAAGGAGGGGGCGGCGGCCTGGCCCTGCTCCCAGGTGTTGTCCACAGGCACTGCCCCCGCGTCTTGCCCCCCACGTAATTATTGCCCCCATGTGTTGCTCCGCGTGCGGCCCCCAGGCATTGCCCGCATGGGCTGCCCCCAGGTATGGCGCCCATGTGTTATGCCAGAGTGTTACCCCCCAGTGCTGCCCAAACGTAATGCCCCCAAGTATCGCCCCCAAATGTATTGCCCCCTAGTATCGCCACCAGAGACCGAACAGGGAAGAAGTAAGACTGTTCGCCCCCCCTCGCTCTGAGTAGGGTCAACGACTGTGAGATGGTGTTCGGCAAGGAGACGGACCACAAACATCGATGCAGCCAATTAGACGTGGACGACATACAGCGACTAGGTCATATACAAAACACAAGTTGAACCGGACGCATATGTATGGGAGAGGTCGAGCGACGCATATGTATGACCAGGGTCGCGTCGACGCCTCCCCCCGAAAACAGAAAACCAAACCACAGCGACACACGTCAGATCTGCATGAGATCTGAAGAGCAATGGTTGAGTGAAAATGCGACGCCACACATTTACCCTCGAAGGCGAAACAAGAACATATGTGCTCGAAACGTGAAAAGATGAGGGGAAAGACGATTTGCTCTTGAACAACGCCGTGTGAATATCACACACGTGGGAGATGAACGAGACACGTGTGAAGACAACGCCCGCAACAATGACATGCCAGGCAAATGAAGCGGCTGTTTGCTTCAAACTTGGCCAATGAAACCACCTGTGCTCCACCCGGATAATCGGCAGCTGCAGGGGCACACGCAAACGCAACGACGACGGCGACAACGGCGACAACGGCCATCGAGAGTCCTTCAGTGAGAAATTAGGACGCCTGTTAGTCACATGTCCTCACTCAGGTACGGTTGCGGCACATTTGAACATTGTTTTTGTGTAGATACATGAGCGGTCTCCAATGGCGGGGTTCACTGAGTTTAGCTGGAACGTGCTCAAGATCTTCGGGCATCGCACTTCGAATAACGCATGCCTTACAAGAAGACTCAACAAACACTCATCAACATGCACGGCCCAGGTTCAAGGCAGAAGGTGCTGTGTTGGTCGGGCGCACGCTCATCGCACGAAGATAGAAGCATCACAAGATAGCACGAGGCTCGCCGAGAGGGCCCCACCGCCAGCCCAATCGGCGAGCATGTATCCGACGCGGCCCCCTAGAACGGGTACAGAAAAAATGCCCACGATGCCCAGCATCGAATTTATCCGAAATCGACAGAGACTGCTTTTGGGCGGGCGACTCTCTGAATTAAGTAGACAACGTTCGCGGCGACGCCGACGACGAGCCCAACTCCAAATGGACAGGAACTGATGTCGGCCTTCGTCCCCATCCTTCCCGCAGCCATGTCAATCGTACCGAATAGAAGCGGCACTGGGGAGGCTCTGCTTCAGGGGCACGGCCAACTCTGGACAACCACACGGAACGGCTCAAGAGCAGCAGCCCGCCACCGCCCGCCTTGGCGGCCCTGAAAAGCCCCTCCGCCGACACGGCCTTCCTCGCGCGGAAGTACACCTGGCTGCGAGGGCGGGACGCTCGTTATCGTCGTCCTTCCCGATCCGTTCCCACAATCATTCATTATCGCCGTCGTCGTCCTTCTCCTCCTACTCCTCCCCCTCGCTTCCTCACACGTCTACTCCTCTCCCACACCTCGTCATTGCCATCCCTCTTTTCCGACATAGTCCACCGTCAGCTCAGCCCCATCCTGCATACTCCACCAGATACTCCTCCCCCTCCTGCGTCCTCGTCATCGTCGTTTCCGTCGTCCTCCTCCTCCTAAACCGCCTCTGTGGTCGCCATCATGCTGGTGCCGCCGCTGATGACAGACAACAACCGACGGACGACGGACGACTGAGAACTGACGACGGGAGACGGCCAACGACGACGTCGACGACTCCCAAAGCCGCCGAGAACTCCAGGAAGCCGCTGGAACGCCCGCGGAAGCCTCGAAAGGCCTTCGACAACTACAAAACAAATATCAGAAAACATATGGGATCCTTCTCCGACGGCAGCGGCGGCGGAGACGACAGCGGTGGCGACAGTCCAAACCCTTCCATAGCGTCCGAAAACTATCACCGAAGGCCAACGATCCTCCTCGCGCCTAAAGGCATCCAAAAGGCTCCCCAAAGGCCCCCAGGAAGCCACGAAAGGCCAACCAGATGCCCCCCTCAAAGCCCTCAAGGCCTCTGTGAGTTAAACCCTCGCCGGCGTAACATGCAACACTCAGCCATTCCAGCTCCACCATGGCCTAGCGAACGCCATAGACATCTCTACCTACTCCGCCCGGGGTCGGCGGAATAGCGTAAACCACTTGATGCAACGGAATAAAGCACTTTCTCGTCGGCCGCTAGGCAGGGGTCGTCTTTGTTGGCGGAAGGAGCAAACTCAACGAGGGCACCGCTGCACAACGGAACCAAACACGCGAATAATACACGACGGCTCGAAGCGGACAACAAACGCCCTGATCGCTTTGAGAGATCTCGGCGACGACGACGGCCAGAAGGGGGTCACCAACTACGACAACTGGCGGCACAACTAATCCTCGCAGAATCGGCCCCTGGACACCCTGACACATTTTGGCCCAGGGCGCACGCGGCCGCGGAGACGAGAAGCCTCCAGGACCCCCTCGAACAACACGCGAGGAAACAGAGAGGGGGGGGGACGCCGAGAGAGGCCGCCGCCGTCTCGACGCCCTCTGGGACGGGCGGCGGGCGGCGACGGCCGGCGGACGGGGGCGGCCTCCGCGTCCCCAGACCTCCGATGTCGTCTACTTTTTTCTCATCGCGATGATCTACTGACCTTGGTGAATGCAGACCCCGGTAGGTCGGGCTCTGCGGGATCCTGGTGGGTCCTGCAGGACCCTGCAGGGTCCCGCGCGCGAGCCCGGGCCAAGGCAAGCCTGGCTTGGCAGGAGCCTGCAAGGTCCGGCGCTCTGGCCTGACCCCCGTATCAAGGCTCCCGAGGAGTTCCCGCGGAGACTGCCTGGGGGGAGGACAGGCACAACGGAGGAAGCATCGACCCCGCCCTCCTCCTCCTCCTCCTCCTCCTCCTCCTCCTCCTCCTCCTCCTCCTCCTCCTCCTCCTCCTCCTCCTCCTCCTTCTCCTCCTCCTCCTCCTCGTCCTCCTCGACCTCCTCCTCCTCCTCCTCGACCTCCTCCTCCTCCTCCTCCTCCTCCTCGTCGTCCTCCTCATCCTCCTCCTCCTCCTCCTCCTTTTCTCCTCCTCCTCCTCCTCCTCCTCTTCCTCCTCCTCCTCCTCCTCCTCCTCCTTGACGCCCTGGGGTTAGGCGAGGGCGAGCGAGCGCGCGCCGGATGGCCGCCGGCGCCGCCGAGGGCTGGGCGGCCGAGGCTCAAGGCCTCGGGGGGCCCAAGGGCGGCGGGGCTCTCCATGGGAGGAGGAGGAGGAGGAGGAGGAGGAGGAGGAGGAGGAGGAGGAGGAGGGGCCCCCCCCGCGGCTTGCCAAAGAAAAACAGAGCGCTCGCTCCCTCCCGCCGCCTTGGCCTTCTTCACTTCCTCGACGACACGCAAATGGGGGTGACCCTGGGCAAGAGGGACCTTTGGTGCTCGGACTGGGGGCGCCGCGGGCCGGCCAGACTTGGGCGCGCAGGCCGCTGCTACCCCTTCGCGTTCGGCGATGGGGGGCCCCATGGCGCCTCCAGGGGAGGAGGAGGAGGAGGAGGAGGAGGAGGAGGAGGAGGAGGAGGAGAAGGAGGAGGAAGAGGAGGAGAAGGAGGAGGAGGAGGTCCCCCCGCAGGCCCGCAGCAAAGGTCACGCCAGCAGAAGGCCACTCTTGCGCCCCGTCGGTTCGTCAATGCGTCGCGGCGGGCGGCGGCCGCGGCGGGGCGCGCCGTGCCCAGGCTGTGCAGCGCGCGGGGCCGGAGGCCTGCCCGCGAGGGCAGGAGGGGGTCCTCCACGGGCGCCTCGAGAGCCCGCGTGAGGAGGTCCTCGGCAGCTCGTCTTCTACTGGGTCCCGCCCCTCCTTCCTCCATGTCCTCCTCCTCCTCCTCCTACTCCTCTCCTCCTCCTCCTCCTCCTCCTCCTCCTCCTCCTCCTCCCTCCTCCTCCTCCTCCTCCTCCTCCTCCTCCTCCTCTTCTTCTTTTTCTTCTTCCTCCTCCTCCTCCTCCTCCTCCTCCTCCTCCTAAGCAAGACATGGGGAGCCACGGGTTCCGCAACTCTCTACAAAAACAAAATCAACTCAGATTGGAGCGGAACTCGACAACCCTGAGGATACGAGAAACTACAGACGAAATGTGCCTATATTCGCTTCCTCCTCCTCCTCATCCTCCTCCTCCTCCTCAACGATTTGCTCGTTCCTCCATCTCCTTATCCTCCTCCTCAGCGATTTGCTCGTTCCTCCATCGCCTCCTCCTCCTCCTCCTCCTCCTCCTCCTTATCCTCCTCCTTATCCTCCTCCTCCTCCTTTTCCGCCTCCTTTTCCTCCTCCTCCTCCTCCTCCTCCTCCTCCTCCTCCTCCTCCTCCCCCTCCTCCTCCTCCTCCTTCTCCTCCTTCCCAGGTCGCGCCCCTCCTTCCTCCATGTCCTCCTCCTCCTCCTCCTCCTCCTCGTCCTCCTCCTCCTCCCCTCCTCCTCCTCCTCCTCCGCCTCCTCCTCCTCCTCCTCCTCCTCCTCGGCAACTCGTCTTCCCAGGTTGGGCGTCGCTTAATGGGGGAGTGAAACGTACATATGGGAAGAAAGGTGCACTATCGGGGCCCTAGAGAACCAATTTGGGACCCTGAAGGGCACCTCCTGGGGCCCTTGCAAGGCCCCTTTTCTGCAGTCATCGCTGCCCCGCCCCCCACTGATCGCCCCCCATTACGCGACGCCCAACTGGGTCGCTCCCCTCCTTCCTCCATGTCCTCCTCCTCGCGTTGCTCGTGTTTCCCACCTCGGGCAGAGGAAAGACCTGAGTTTGCCGGAGCTCGGGTTTGCGGCTGCCTTCACACGATTCCAGCGCGAGTTGTGACGGACCTGTTTCTGGGAGGTGCTTGCAGCGGGAGTTCGCGTCGACGTTCAAACCAGGTCCCATCATTTTTCTCGAGACGAATGTACCCCCCCCGATCATGGGGAGTGCATTATGTTCCGCGCTAGTATCGGCGGTGGACAAACCTCCCTTTAGCACACATCCCCTTAGTGAAAACGGCATGGGACCGAAACCGGACCTGCACCCGCAAAAATGACGGCCGCGACGACCCCTCGCGAACCGAAAACGGCCAATTCGCTAATCGACGTGGCAGGGTAGGAGGTCGATCCACCTCCGAATCATGTTTCTCGAGACGTAGATATCCCCTCGGTCATGGGGACTGCATTATGTTCCGCGCTAGTACCTCAGCGCGCGCGATGAACTCAGTTCCGAAGACACGGTTTCAATCCGGACGTTCTTCTTTCGACGACGGCCTCTGGGGCCCGCTATCGGGCCTAGGGACCACCAAACAAGCACCACGGGGGGCAGAGCAAACCCCAGGGAAGGGGTCGGGAGTTCTGGGGCCGCGGACGGGAGAAATCTGATCGAAGGATGTCAGGGTCTCCGGGCTTTCAGCAAAGTGGTGGTCCGCGTTGCTTCTGTGATGTTTGCCGATTTGCCGTCAAGGCGCGGCATTTTCCTGTCCTGTCCCGTAGGTGGGGTCTTTGCTAAGCCAGGACTTCGGGGCACCAACGGAAAAAATAGCCAGAGTCGAGTATCCCCAAAAACCAGGTTTTGGGCTAAAGTGGCTCCTCAGGAAGGTACGCGTGTTCTCCGGTTCCTGATCCGCCTGCTCTTTCGGCGTCGTCGTCGAGCGTTCCGCCATCGTCGTTCCCGCATCCACGTCATTATCCTTCTCGCCCTTGCCCTCCCCCTTCCACTACACCTCCTCCGCCTCCTCATCCTCCTCCTTCTCCTCTCTTACTCCCGCTCCTCTTCCTCCTCCTCCTCCTGATCCTCTTCCTCCTCCTCCACCACCTCCTCCTCGTCCTTGTCCTCCTGCTCGCCATTCTTCTCCTCATCCTGATCCTGACAGTTCTCCTTTCATTGCTCCTCCTCCTCCCTCGTCCCTTTCCTCATGCAAATCCTCCACATTGTCCTTGTGATATCCCTCCTCGTCGTTCTCCACCTTATCCTCCGCCTCCTCGTCGTCCTCCTCCTTCTCCAAATCATCATCACCATCATCAGCATCAGCAGCACAGTCGATGTCAGCAGCAACATCATCATCCTCATCATCATCATCATCATCATCATCCTCATCCTCATCATCATCATCATCATCATCATCATCATCATCATCATCATCATCATCATCATCACAATCATCAGCATCATCATCACCAATATCAGCAGTATCATCGGCAGCATCAGCATCGACAACAGCAGTATCACCACTTGCAGCATCCATATCAGCACCATCAGCATCATCATCATAAGCAGCATCATCAGCGGCATCCTCATCACCGGCATCACAATTGTCATCAGCATCGCCATCAGCTGCGTCGCCGCCACCATCATCATACTCTTGCGGTAACGGTATTGGTTTAACTCTTCGAGCGCCAAAGCGCGTGCACGCATGCATTCGGCAACATCCGAAGAGCTCCTCGGGGACCCCTCGGACGCCAAACGAACTCCACGGCAAGAAACGATTCACTACGCCTGAGCAACCGCCGTAAGGCCGAAGGAACGGGCGGCGTTCAGAATCCAGCGGTCGGCGGGGGGCCGCTCACATTGAACGCCAACAGTTGCAGCACCGTCTGAAGGGCGTCTACCACGTCCATCCTTTCCAGAAGCCTGAGGGAGGCACCGCTGAGGCGCAGCGCCTGCCAGCTGCCACGCTGAAGGCTGAGAGCTTCAACGAGGTCCCGAAGGGCGAGCCGCATCTGGCCCTCGCGCACGCCCTCGGAAGATGACGTCGAAGGTCCAGTTGGAGCCTGCCCAACGACCCTGGCGAGGCCTGAGGCTGGCTCCTGGTCGGGGCCGAAGGGGATGCTGCGCATGCCGCCGCCGGAAATCGCTGCCGGCTCGACATTCCGGTTGCTTCCCCTGGGCTCGGGATCCAAGGAGCGCGCCAAGCCGCGCAACGGGATCTCAGCAGCGGCCTCCCCCGCCGCTGCCGAAGAAGAGCCCGTGCCGCGCAGCCGACCGGGTGAGGGTGAGACCCTCGGGAGCACCACAGTCGCCGAAGGCGCCGCCGCCTGTCCGCCCGCCGCCGAGCTAGACGCGGCGGCTGCCGCAGCGCCTGAAGCCCCATCATGTGCACCACTACCGGCATTCCGAACGTCTCCTGGCGCAGACTCCGGAGGTGCAGCCGCACGAGGTGGCGGGGCAGCGGGAGCACGAGAAGCCGCCGCCGAGACAAGCGCCACAGCCAGCGCCGCGCCCACGCGCGTGGGGCGGCACCCACGGTGCTGGAGGGCGCCGAAGGCGCGGAGCAACGCCTGAGCTGCTCGCGCCTGCGCGCGCCCGGCCTGGGCGCGGCGCTCGGCTGCCGAGCGCCGCCGCCGCGCAGGCGCCCCGAAGGCAAGCCAGGGCGGGGCCGGGCCCGCGGGGGGCAGCGGCCGAGGGGCCGCCTGGCGCGGAGTCGCAGGCCGCGCGCCAGGCGACAGCCTGAGCCGAGTTGGCGCTGCGGTAGCGGCATTGGATGAGAGACCATTAGATAAGGATCCCAGAGTCTGGAAGCCCGTTGAACTCTAATCGTGGATTGGTCATGGATAACACCGCCGCCCTCATCAAACAAGGAATCCTTCAGGGTCTGAAGCCTCCTGGGCACATTCCTTAACCAACGCCCCCACCGTAATCATCAGCATCAGCATCAGCATCAGCATCAGCATCATCCTCATCCTCATCCTCATCCTCATCCTCATCCTCATCCTCATCCTCAACCTCATCCTCCTCCTCCTCCTCCTCCTCCTCCTCCTCATCCTCATCATCATCATCATCATCATCATCATCATCATCATCATCATCATCATCATCATCATCCTCATCCTCATCCTCATCCTCATCCTCATCCTCATCATCATCATCATAATCATCATCATCATCATCATCATCATCATCATCATCATCATCATCATCATCATCATCATCATCGTTATCACCATCATCATCATCATCATCATCATCATCATCATCATCATCATCATCATCATGATCATCATCATCATCATCATCATCATCATCATCATGAGCTACATCCTGGTCGTCGTCGTCGTGCGTCGTCGTGGTCGCCGACGTCGTCATCGTCGTCGTTGAACGTTCGTCGGTCGTCGGTCGTCGTCATCCGTCGGTCGTCGTCCGTCGGCCGTCGTGCGTCGTCGTCGTTGCCGACGTCGGAGGACTTCGTCGTCGCCGACGCTGTCGCCGTCGTAGTTCGTCGTCCGTCCGTCGGTCGGTCGTCGTCGTAGGTCGGTCGTCGTCGGTCCTCGGTAGTCGGTCGTCGGTCGTCGTCCTCATCGTCGTCGTCGTCGGCTCCCTTCGTCGTCGCCGTCGTCATCGTCGCATCCGTCGTCGGCTGCCGGCAGGAATTTTCGGATGGGTTCGACTGCTTCTCGGATACCCTCTGGACGCCTTCCGCGATCTTCAGATGCCTGCTGGATGCTTCTGGCGGTTTGGGTGGAGGGTCGTCGTCTCCCGCCACCTCCCCTCCCTTAATCCGTTGTTCTCCTGGATTGAAGAGACAGCAATGCCTGGGAGGGAGGGGACGGGGACGTAAGGGAAGGCGGGAGGGAGGAGGGGGGGGGGACCAGGTTGAACCGAGGAAGAGCGAGCAGAGGAGGGGGGAGAGAGGGGCGCGTGGGGGGGGGGAGGGAGGGAGGAGACGAGGGCCGCGAAAGGGGCGGAGGCATGGGAGGGAAGAGGGGGGAATAAGCTTGGTGCGCTCGCACCTGACATCCTACCCATCGCGCCCATCCCTTGATTTTTCTCTGTCCGCGGATGCGTGTCATAGCAAACCTGGAACTCAGAAAAAAAAAACGAAGTGTTATGCGCAATCGGGAAGGTGGTGCTGAGCAGAAGGAAAAGGAGGAGGAGGATGAAGGAGGACGACGACGAGGACGAACAGCAGCAGCGGGAACTGGAGTGGACGGAGCGGGAGGAGCAGGAGGGCGGATGAGGGGAAAGGAGGGGGGAGTCAACAATGAGGAAGGACTCGGATTCAGAAAAGCGGCCCGCGCTGGGGCGACAACGCCATTCTGAACGACGGGAGCAGGCACCGATCCGACACTGAGGCGCACGCAGCAGCGGGAAAACCACGTGGTAACACGCGGAAAACCATCGGATAGTGAGAACAAGAATGCGAAGAGAAGAACACGCTTGTCCAATCCTGCGTGTCACGAACACTAGGCATCTTCCTGACAGGCTCCGGGGGACAAAGGAGAGCGGCACGTACTCAGACTGTGTGGCTGTCGCACACACGGGAGGGGATCGCGTGCAGGGGGGGAGGAGGTGGCGAGGGCCAGGACATCCGAGCCCTTCCTCTTTGTTTCACCTCTGCATCCTCGGAAGCCTCGACCCTTCCCCAGAGGCAAGCCCCATCCTCGCGAGCAGTTTTCTCGACGGCCCCGGGGCCCCACCGAGGACCCCCAGGGGCCGCGAGCGGCCAAACACCTCCTGCCTGGTCTGCTCAATGCGAGGGAGGCCTGGAGGAGCGGGACGGTGTGACCTGTCGTCTGCTGCGCGATCGGAGAGGGGGGCCCTTGTTCACTGGAGGAGGGGGACGAGGAGGAGAAGGAGAAGGAGGAAGAGGAGGAGGAGGAGGAGGAGGAGGAGGCGGATGCGGATGAGCAGGAGAAGGCGGACGAGGTGAAGGCATCCCTTCTTTTTATGGCGGAGGAATCGAAGAAAAGGAGGGACGAGGAGGAGGAGGAGGAGAAGGAGGAGGAGGAGGAGGAGGAGGAGGAGGAGAAAGAGGCGGAGGAGCAGGAGAAGGACGAAGAGGAGCAAGGGTGGGGAGAGCGCGAGCGGCCCCGGCTCATCCCATGAGAGTCCAGCGCCAAACGGCAACCTGTGAGCTTGTCGGGTCGGGCGAACGGGGGGGATAGCAAAGGGCGGGTTTGAAAACCAGCTCACGGAGCTGACTTTCCCGGCGCCTCCCGGCGCCGGAGGCGGCTAATGTATCGAGGAGTGGGCCCCTCGGTGAGGCCGAAACCAGCTGCATGCAGCAAATTTCGTAACCCCCCCCTTCCCAATCCCCCCCTTTCGTCCGGCCCGAGCTTGACTCCCGGATCCTGCAGGGCGGCATAGACGGCGGACAGGAAAGCATCGTCCATCCGCGGGAATTGAACGGGAATTGCTTTTGTGCTGTTGCTTCATTGATGGGGCGTTGCGCGCAACAACCACGAACCCCTAGACTCTTCCGCGGCCCGGCGAGGGCCCTCCCAGAGGCCAAACACTGCGAACCGACGCCATGATGTTTTTGTTCCCAACCATCCTGTGGTGTTGGGTCCTCGTTTTGAAGAGACGGTGCCCCGCGTCACTCCTCTCCTCTCCTCCTCCCCCTCCTCCCCCCTCCCGTCACTCCTCCCTCTTCCCTGCGCTTCACCCACCCAGTGCAGCGCTTCGTGGCCCCATAGGGAGCTCCACCGAAGGCGCCAGTGGCAGCGTTCGCATGGCGGCCTCGGGCCATTTCGGCACACCCCTCACGAGGATCGTGGCCCCATAGGGAGCTCCACCGAAGGCTCCAGTGGCAGCGTTCGCATGGCGGCCTCGGGCCGTTTCGGCACACTCCTCACTAGGATCGTGGCCCCATGGGGAGCCCCACCGAAGGCGTTAGTGGCAGCGTTCGCATGGCGGCCTCGGGCCTTTTCGGCACACCCCTCACGAGGATCGAGGCCCCGTAGGGAGCTCCACCGAAGGCTCCACTGGCAGCGTTCGCGTGGCGGCTTCGGGCCATTTCGGCACACCCCTCGCGAGGATCGTGGCCCCATGGGGAGCTCCACCGAAGGCTCCACTGGCAGCGTTCGCATGGCGGCCTCGGGCCATTTCGGCACACCCCTCAAGAGGATCGTGGCCCCGTAGGGAGATCCACCGAAGGCTCCAGCGGCTGCGTTCGCATGGCGGCCTCGGGCCATATCGGCACACCCCTCACGAGGATCGTGGCCCCATAGGGAGCTCCACCGAAGGCGCCAGTGGCAGCGTTCGCATGGCGGCCTCGGGCCATTTCGGCACACCCCTCACGAGGATCGTGGCCCCATAGGGAGCTCCGCCGAAGGCTCCAGTGGCAGCGTTCGCATGGCGGCCTCGGGCCATTTCGGCACACCCCTCACTAGGATCGTGGCCCCATAGGGAGCTCCACCGAAGGCGCCAATGGCTGCGTTCGCATGGCGGCCTCGGGCCATTTCGGCACACCCCTCACGAGGATCGTGGCCCCGTATGGGAGCTCCACCAAAGGCCCCCAGTGGCAGCGTTAGCATGGCGGCCTCGGGCCATTTCGGCACACCCTCACTAGGATCGTGACCCCATAGGGAGCTCCACCGAAGGCTCCAGTGGCAGCGTTCGCATGGCGGCCTCGGGCCATTTCGGCACACCCCTCACTAGGATCGTGGCCCCATAGGGAGCTCCACCGAAGGCCCCCTGTGGCAGCGTTAGCATGGCGGCCTCGGGCCATTTCGGCGCGCTCCACACGAGAATCGTGGCCCCATCGGGAGCTCCACCGAAGGCTCCAGTGGCAGCGTTCGCACGGCGGCCTCGGGCCATTTCGGCACACCCCTCACGAGGATCGTGGCCCCATAGGGAGCTCCACCGAAGGCGCCTGTGGCAGCGTTAGCATGGCGGCCTCGGGCCATTTCGGCACACCCCTCACGAGGATCGTGGCCCCATTGAGGGAGCTCCACCGAGGGCTCCAGTGGCAGCGTTCGCATGGCGGCCTCGGGCCATTTCGGCACACCCCTCACTAGGATCGTGGCCCCGTAGGGAGCTCCACCGAAGGCGCCAGTGGCAGCGTTCGCATGGCGGCCTCGGGCCATTTCGGCACACCGCTCACGAGGATCGTGGCCCCATAGGGAGCTCCACCGAAGGCCCCCAGTGGCAGCGTTCGCATGGCGGCCCCGGGCCATTTCGGCACGCCGCTCACGAGGATCGTGGCCCCATAGGGAGCTCCACCGAAGGCGACAGTGGCAGCGTTCGCATGGCGGCCTCGGGCCATTTCGGCACACCCCTCCCCAGGATCGTGGCCCCATAGGGAGCTCCACCGAAGGCGCCAGTGGCAGGATTCGCATGGCGGCCCCAGGCCACTGCGGCACATCCCTCACGAGGATCGTGGCCCCACATAGTTGTGCTGCTGGGCGTCTGGGCGTCGTACTCCGCCTTCCTTGTCGACGTGCAACGCCACCTCCTCCCTCATGGCTCTCAAGGCCCTCTCCTGCTTCTGCTCCTCGGTGAGAGGGACGCCGTCCTTGTCGTCGTCGGCGCCCGCGAAGACGGCCACGAACGTGTCCCTGAGCATGTCGGGCTCCGGCGGGAAGCCGTGGCCACATAGGGAGCGCGGGCGAAGATGGTATTCACAATTGCGGTATTCACAGCTGCATATGGTTGGGTCCTTCGCCAGGCTAATTTGTCCTGTGCGATGGTACAGGCCTCCTGGAAGGGGTCCGAGCAGATGGGGCCGGAGGATTGCACCGCATCGCCGACCCATCGCCGATGCCTCGGCGGTGCATCGGCGGCGCCATCGGCGTGGAGAGCATCGGGCTCCACACCGAGCCGCCTCGCTGGTGCATCGGCGCTGCGGAGCGAGCCCTCGGCCCCCTCTGCGGGGGCCCCCTCTGCGAGGCCCGGAGACGGCGATTCCGCAGAGGGGCGCTCTCCGCGAGGCGAGCGCCTCACGCTGCAGATAGGACAGATGTACCCCCAAGGGGGCACGATCGAAGACGAATCGGCGGTGGACAAGCCTCCCTTTAGTAAACCTCCCCTCAATGAAAACGGCCTGGGATCGAACCCGACGGACCTTCGACCCGCAAAAATGACGGCCGCGACGCCCTCCCGCGAACCGAAAACGGCCAATTCCTTAATTGACGTGTCAGGGCAGGAGGTCTGTCCACCCCCGAAGGTAAGACGGATATACCCGCAAGGGGGTACGATCGAAGACGAAGCGGGCGGGTATCGAGGGCTCGGGAGATACACCTCGTTAATTTCTAATCGTGCTAATTTCGAATTGTGTTCGTTTCTAAATGTTCCTGGCCCCCTAGTGGCCAGGAAGAGGCCCAGGATAAAACAAGTAGAAAGGAAAGGATCCTGGCTCCCCAAGAAGGCAGAGAACCCTCGAAGAATTAGGAACGAACAGAGTGTACGTTTATGTCGGGAGTGTCCCCCTACAGGGGGATTGTCGACGAAAAACAAAAAATACCCCACAAGTACCCCCCAAAAAGGTCAGAACATGCTCAAACAATAGTCCCCAGACTATTTTGAAGGGGCCCTGGGACACACAAATAAATACACACCAATAAAAGGATCCCCCATATTTCCCCGTATTTTCTGGATGTTCGTCTTCTCCCCCGCTTCCCATATGTTCCCATCTTCTCCTGGGGATCGACGATCAATTGTGCCTGTGTTTTTGTTCCCCCTCCTGATCTTTTTGGACTGCTTATGAGCATTCCCCCTGTAGGGAGGGGCAGGCCCGACTTCAAGTGTGCGCAGCGCAAAACAAAACGCTGGGCCTGCCCGACCGTCTGCCGTCGGTTTACGCAATCGCTCGAAACCCAAACACAACGCGCTCAGAACGAAAAACACATCAAACAACATAACAACCTTTTTTTCTCGTAAAACAGCGTTTTCGGCCAGCGCTGGCCTGCTGCGCGGCGCGCGAGCACCCGCCGCAGGGGTCCTGCTGGGCCTCCGCGGGGAGGCCGACCCTGCCCAGCACCGCGGCCTCGCCCGTGCTCACCTCGCTGCCGGGGGGGGGCGGGGGCGGCGGCCGCCCGCCCGACGACCCCCCGCCCGGCGAGCTCCCCGCGGGCCCCCAGGGAATACACACCACCACCACCACCACCACCACGTCGATGCCTCCTCCCTGCTCTACCCTCCTCCTCCTCTCCCTCTTCCCTGGCAGAGGGAGGTATCTGCTCCTCTCCTCTTCTTCCTCCTCGTCCTCCTCCCCTTCCTCTCCCCTGTCCTGGTGAGGGAGGTGGTGGTGGTGGTGGTACATATTTTTTGGGCCCCGCCCCGTACCCGCTCTCACTCTCTCTCTCTCTCTCTCGGCAGGCGCCCATCTGCGGGGAATCCCAGAGATCGGCGAGCGGCAGCGTACCTCTGTGAACGTCCTCTTCTTCGGCGCTCCGGCAGCGGGCGGAAATGGGGGGGTCTGGCTCCGGACCTCTGCTGAGTGCGACGGTTTGGAGCAGAGCTCCCATGGGGGATCCGATGGGGAGCCGCCCACCTGCTTGAAACAGGCGCCCAAAACGGCCCAGATGTGCTCCATCGGGGGGGGAGGGGGTGGAGGGGGTGCGAGGGCCCACGCCGATCGGCGAAACAACGAAGAAGAAAACGATCACTCCGATATCATTCATTCGCTGCTGCTGCTGCTTCGCGCGCGTGTCCGCCTCTCCGCTCCAGCGGCGCCGTGGCTCCTCGCTGCTGCCCCCATCCGCCACTCCTTCCCGTCCTGCTCCTCTTGCCTCCTCCTCCCTCCCTTCCTCAAGCCCTCCTCTCTTCCTCCGACTCCTAAGCCGCATTTTCTCTCCTACGTCTTCTCCGGCATCCGGTGAATCGTGAATGGGCCGCAGCATTTCCAGATGCAAGTCGGTGTCCTCACGCGTCTGGCTTCCCGTGTCCTCCCTACGTCTGTTCAAGATGGCTATGGGATGGGCTGCAGTTCCCGACGACAATGCACGTGCCCTTGGGCGTCTGGCTTCTGAAGGTCGCACAGGGCTGCAATATGTCGTTCTGGTACGAGAACTTCAGCTTGTGCACAGCTCCCTTCTCGTGCCGTCTCGGGCGACTTCTGGCACAGCACTGCATCTGCATTTCCCAACCGGTCCTCCCTCTCCGGCTTCGCCCCTTCTCCTCCTCGCCTGCGGATCAGTCCGCTATCTCCTCCTTGCATGGAGATCGACATTCGTGCGTCCAGCTTGGCTCTGGGGGATCAGACCCCGCCCGCAAATTGTTCAGGCGCGCGGACCGCCTCCGTGTCACTGCCCACCACCACCACCACCACCACCACCACCACCACCACCACCCACCACGGACCACCAACCACCCACCACCACCACCACCACCACCACCACCACCACCACCACCACCACCACCACTCCCCCCACCCCCCACCCCCACCCCCCACCCCCCACCACCACCACCCACCCACCCCCACCCTCACCCTCCCCTCCCACCCACCACCACCACCACCACCACCACCACCACCACCACCACCACCACCACCACCACACCACCACCACCACCACCACCACCACACCACCACCACCACCACCACCACCACACCACCACCACCACCACCACCACCACCACCACCCCACCACCACCCACCACCACCACCACCACCACCACCACCACCACCACCACCACCACCACCCACCACCCACCACCACACACCACCACCACCCACCACCCACCCACCACCCACCACCCCACCACCCACCACCCCCACCACCCACCACACCACCCACCCACCCACCCCACCCACCCACCCACCCACCCACCCACCCACCCACCCACCACCCACCCACCCACCCACCCCACCCACCCACCCACCCACCCCACCCCCCCCACCCACCCACCCACCCACACCACCCACCCACCCACCCACCCACCACCCACCACCACCACCACCACCACCACCACCACCACCACCACCACCACCACCACCCACCACCCACCACCCACCACCCACCCACCACCCACCACCCACCACCCCCACCACCCACCACCCACCACCCACCACCCACCACCCACCACCCCATCCACCACCACCACCCACCACACCACCACCACCCACCACCACCACGCCACCACCACCACCACCACCACCACCACCACCACCACCACCACCACCACCACCACCACCACCACCACCTACCTCCTGCTCCTGCTCCTGCTCCTGCTCCTGCTCCTGCTCCTGCTCCTGCTCCTGCTCCTGCTCCTGAATCACCCTCGGATATCACCCTCGACTCACGCTCGGAAATCACCCTCGGATATCACTCTCGGAGATCACCCTGGACTCCGGGAAAAAACGGAAGCCCGAATTAGATCGGCCTCCGACTTTTCGCCGTCCACCGGCGCCCCACCAGATCCCTACCGAGACGCGCTCTAACCGCCACGACTTCGAGGAGGATCTGGTCGTAACAACGGTGGCAACCCAAGAGGCCCCAAAAACGGTTCAAATCGGCTCTAATGATGGATCCTCGGACCTCGTTCCCCGTGGGGGACCCATGGAGGCCTCTGGAGGATCGGTAGAGACTACCGCCGGAATTCAAACAACAGGCAAACATTGACTAGAGCATCGATCGTCCTCTCTTTCTCTCTCTACCTCTCTCCGTCCTCCATTCTCCCCGACCCTTGTCAGCACGAAGGCAGCAGGTCCTGAGGGAAAGCGGTCCTCAACGTGCTCGTCGTTTTCGGGCTCACGGCCCCCCCACCAAACGGGCTCCGGGACCGCATGAGGAAGCGGCACGGGATGGAGAAACCGTCCCGGGAAGACCCTGGGGCCCAAGACTGACTACCTACCAGACCACCCCAACCCAACCCGAAGACCCGAATTTCGGGTTGGGGGGGGGTACGGGTTCCATATGTGTTTTTCTCAATGTTCCCCGACCCCCCCCCACTGGAAATGGAGGTCAATTTGAGGCCTTCGGGTTGGGTTGGGGTGGTTTGGTGGGTGGTGAAAGACAGGGCTCGAGCCAAGCAGTGCTGCCCGTGTCCCTCTTGCCTTCGTGCTCCCTCGCTCCGGCTTCGCTCCGCCCCTGCTGCAGGACGGGGCCGCCACGAACGAGGCCCACGACACAGCGAATCGCCACGGCACCCTGCAGCTCGAGCCCTGGCCGAGGACCCCTCAGGGACCCGCTTCCTCCGCGGTGCTCCGCCCATGGCCGACGGAGGAGAGAGGCACGGATGGCCCCGGGGCGCTGGCGCGCCTCGTCGGAGGCACGTCGGGTGCTGCTGGACGTACCCCTGGCCCAGGGTACGCCCAGGATCCTCGGGGTGGCCCAGGCGGCCTCCGGGGCCCCCCTCACGAGGCCCAGAGGTCCCCAGGGGCTCCGAAGCGGAGCGAAAAATTAAGGGGCACCTTGGGCCAGGGGCACTTCCTAGCAACACCCGAGCAGGGGCGACCCGAGCCCCTGGAGACGTGCGGCCGACTCCGGAGACCTTGGGCCCAGAGATGTTGGCACCCCTTAGGGGGCGCATCGGTTGCTTCCGCCGGCGCCCAACTGCGGAGGCGGCCTCGTCTTGCCTCCGCCGCGTTCCGCCGAGCTTCCGCCAGCCTCCGTCGAGGAGGAGGTGCCCACTGCTTCGATCCTCCAGGGCGAAGCCATCTCTGGAGCGCCCCGTGTGTAGTGCTCCACCCTGCGGCTGTGCGCCTCCGCTGCCGCCGCCAAACGCCTCCCAAATGGGGGCGGAGTAGATGGTGTCGGATGATCGCGCCGCATCGCCGATGCATCGCCGACGTCTGCGCCGAGGAAATCGGGCTCCGTATCGAGGCGCATCGCCGATGCATCGGCGATGCGGCGCGATCCTCCGATCCCGTCTGGCCGCGTACGTTTTGTAGTGTAGCGTTGTTAACTTGCGGCAGTCACACACACACACACCCATGTTGGCGGGCATGTTGCGTGACCACCCTCGGGAGCCCAACGGGGCTGGTGTGACACCGTGTTGGCCCCGTGACCAAACGGGGCTATGTCATCCCGTGGTGGCCGCGACCGCCGCTCCGGTACAGAGCCCTTGTGACGCGAACAGGTTGGATGTTCCCCTCTACTCGGACCCCCTCTGGGAGGTCTGGGGACCCGCCGAACAGGCCTCGTCGTACCTCTCGCGCGACGGGGGAGCCGCTCGTCTCCCGCGGGGTTGACGACGGCGACGACGGCGACGACGACGACCACCACCACCGCGACCAAAACCCCGACCACGACCACGACCGAGACCGCGATCAGGATCACCAGCGACGAGAAGACGGCGACGCCGAAGACGACGCCGGCGACGCCGACCCCCCCCCCCCTTCCAGGAGGCCGGCGGGGTCGCCCACGCGCCGACGTCGCCGCTGTCCCGCACCCGCGCCGCCAGCGGGGCGGGCAGGTCGGCCCCGCCGCCTTGGGGGGGGCCGCGCCGCCGCGCCGCCCGCCCTCGACGCGCCCCGGGGGGCAGAAACCGACACCGCGGCAGGCCCCCGCCCCGCGCCCGGGTGGACGACGCTCCTCCTCCTCCTCCTCCTCCTCCTCCCTCCTCCTCTCCTCCTCTCCTCCTCCTCCTCCTCCCCCTCCTCCTCCTCCTCCTCCTCCTCCTCCTCCTCCTCCTCCTCCTCCACCGAGGCAAAGCCCCACAGCGAGCCCGCCGCGCCCGAGGCGGAGCCTGCCCCGGGTGGCCCCGGCGCACGGAGGCACGGGCCGCGCGTGCGCGTCGGAGCAAGCGGCGCGGCGACAATGCAGAGCGAGAGGAAGCACCGCATAAAACGCAGGCGTTCGGAGGTCCTCGCGGATTCCCTGGATCGCGGCGCCAGGGGCGCCGCCAAGAGGTCCAGCGCCGATGCGAGAAATCCGCGCGGAGCTCCGAAAATTGATGTGTTTGCCGTGCTTCCTCTTCGAAAGAGAAAACGACATACTGAAGCAGGCAAAACTTCAAAGAGGCAATAGCTCGTCCTCGGGAGAGGGGTAGGGCCACCCTCTTTTTTTGTTTCCTCTCTCTCTCTCTCTTTGTTTATGGCATCTCTCTTTCTCTCTCTCTCTCTCTCTCTTTCTCTCTCCCTCTCTCCCCCTCTTTCCCTTGTCTCGGCGCCAGGTCGGAGGACTCATGAGGGTGAGGATGATCATATCAGATGTTCTGAGCCACATCATTTCGGAGAGGCTGGTGCTGAGCCCTGAGGTCGCGAGGTGCAATTGGCTTCCGAGGGAGCCGATCCCGCTCCACGCCGCTGGCCCACAGCGTGCCCGATCCAGGAGGAGCAGGAAGAGAACGTGGAGGATCGAGGACAGAAGATGTTGGATGTTTTTGACAACGTCTGGGCCTCCAGGGAGTTCCACCCCCAACCCCTCCTGCTCGGTCTCCTCCCTCCCTCCCTCCTCCCTGCCTCCTCCTTTCCTCCTGCTCGCCATCCCTGCTTTAAATAGTCATGTCTCCTCCCCTGTGTCCTTCGCCTCCTGATTCTCCCGCCTCCTGCTCCCTGCTCCCTGAATATCCTCCTCCTCCTCCTCCTCCTCCTCCTCCTCCTCCTCATCTGTCCTCCTACTTCCTCCTCCACATACCTCCGCGTCGTTGTCGTCGTCCTCCTCTTCCTCCTCCTCCTCCTCCTCCTCCTCATACTCCTTCTGCTCGCCCTCCATTCCCCCCTGCGCACATTCCATGCCCTCATGGCCCCTGGTCCTTCGACCCCCCTGTCCCCCCTAAAGCAAACTCCTCGATCGACATCATCCCTACAACTCCTCACTCTCATCCATCGCCGTCCATCCTCCATCGTCTAATCTCGTGATCATAGTCCCTACTCCCTCTTTACTCTTCCTCCTCCTCCCGCCCCTGCTCATCATCGCCCCTGCCGCTGATGCTCATCATCATCCCCCTCTATCATCTATATCTATAGTCCTCTTCATATATTTTGATAAGCCTGGGCGGGGGGAAAACCCATCCCCCCCCCAAAACCGAACTCCCGAGATCTGGGGCTTTGTGACCTTCCCGAACGGGCCTCGAAGCGGCCCCCCGGGCCTCGCAAGGCGGTTTGCCAAGCCTTCGCAGCACACCTGGGGCGATCAGGGGGGCCCTCGGAGACGTCCCAGAGACCCCCAAGACAACACAAGAGCGCTCCAAGAAGCCGTCATACCCCCAAAGATCGCCCCAAAACGTTCCAAGAGCACCCCCAAGAAGGCCCCAAGAGGGAAAAATCATTGATTTTACATAGGTTTTAGGTGAATTTGGGTGTTCTCCTCTTTTCGGCTTTCCGACGCTCTCAGACGGCGGTCTTCTGGGCGTCCGAAGCCGCCTGGAAGGCTCCAAAATCGCCCCACAACCATCCGAAAGGGCTTCCAGGCAGTCCAAGAGAGCCCCAAAACGGCACAACAGGGGTCCAAGATGGCCCTCAGAGAGCCCCATGGCGGCCCAAGATGGCCCCAAGACGACACCCTCCGAAGCATTCCAAATCGTGACCGGGGCGTTCAGGGAGACCGCGGTTAGAGGCAGGTTGGCCTGAGGAAGCCCCAGAGGCTCCCAGAACACGCACAGGAGGCCTCCAGAAGGCTTTAAGAAAGCCTGAGAACTTTGGTGAGGCCCCCAGAGGTTCTCCAAGGAGAAGCCTCCGCAAAAAGAGCTGAGGAGGACGGGGAGCATGCCCAGGGTATGGCGAGAATGACGAAAAATGAACATGGAGGGAGGATGACGAACAACATTATTCTAACGGCGATGCCAGAAAAGGCAGCAAGGACCTTCCTGCCATTTCCGCCTGCATACCAAACTCCAAGGACCAAGGTGCATGGCGCGAAGCGCCACTGCAGTCTTGTATCTGTACATATATAACCCTCCCACTTCTCCCAACCGTCCCCCTGAAGTCGTCGGCGAACCCACAAGACTTCTTAAAGCCTCCCCGAACGCCCCTAAAAGAATCGCCGTCCGCTCCCCTCCCCCCGTACCACCGAGCTGAGGGGAAACGTCAGGGGCGCAAACATCGATCTGGAATCAGCGGTAACATCGCCGTTAGATCGGCGAGAGGCGCCCGATCGCGAATCCGCCTGCTTCTAGGCGGTCGGGGGACGATTGCCATTTCCCCCTCGTCCAACGAACGTACCTGAAATCACCCCAACTCCCCCCCTTGCAACACCCCACTTCCCTCAACACATGGGAGCTTGCGCCATTGCTCGCAACTCGCGCCCGCCCTGACAGCTCCAGCGCCGCCCCTGCAGCGCCTGCAGCCCCTCCCCTTCCTCCCATCCCTTTCACCTTCCCCTCCCTCGCCTTCCCCTCCCTCCCCTTCCCCATCCCCTCCCTCCCCTCCCCTCCCATCCCTTCCCCTCCCCTCCCATCGCTTTTCCATTGCTCATCCCCCCCCCCCCCTTCCCCTCCCTCCCCTCCCATGCCACTCCGGGGTCACCTCCTGACATGACTGGGCCCGACCGCTCCTCTCGTGACCCGGCCATCTCGACGTCCCGCCCGAGACGTGTCCAATATTCAGCTCTCGTGGAGGCCCTGTGGGCCACTTCGCCGTCCATGGCCCCAGTGCTGGCATCGCCTATCCTCCCTCCGATGGGGCGAGGGGTAGCGTCAGGGGGTTGGACCGACTCAGGGGGGAACCATCGAGCTGGAAACGGTGATGCATCGCCGAGAGATCTGCGATAAGCTCCCTGAAACCGCACGCTCCTCGGCGGAGAGAGCCATAGGAGCCCCATCGGCGATGAACATGCGAATCGACGATGCCCCAGATGGGAGCGGGAGGAGGGTAAGGGTGCTCCTGTTCCGATCTTCTCCTGGACCCTCTCCCCCAACAGACCCCCGACGCCATGCTTTCTTCCCAACGTCGACCCCCAGAGGTCTCGACCCATTCCCGGGGACAAGCTTTTCATCCTGAGTCGCTTCTTGACGGCACCGAGCCACACAGAGGCCGACAGTTAGGAAAAAACGGCCGTCGCGATTATCTTCACGACCCGAAGAGGTCAGGGTCTACTGGCCTGCCGCCAGCGCCGCGTTCAGCTCGCCCCACTCGCCCGCGACGAGCTTCGCGAGCTGCTCCGGCGCGGGCGGCGCCTGGCTGTCCCCGTGCGCCCGCTCGCGCGAGGAGCCCCCGAAGTAGCCCCTACGAGGGGGACTCGAACTGCAACTTAGAGCCCCAGACCCCCTCGATGAATGAAAGAACACGTGACGGACGGTTTTTCGCAATTTCGACCCAAAGGGGCCCTGGACCAGGCCCCGGGGCCGTCAAAAAACGACTCAGGATGAAGAGCTGGTACCGACGAACAGGTCAAGACCTCTGGGGGTCGACGTAACGAAACAATCATGACGTCGGGGGTCTGGGTATGGCCCAGAGACGGCCAGCCATCAGGCCCTCGCGAGGCCCTCGAGGATCCCTCGCAGGGGAAGGCCCCCAGTAAGCCTCCGAGGATGACCCAACGACCCAACGAGGCAGACCATGGAGCGCTGTGGCCCGCCAAGGGCGCGCTGGAGGTCATGAGAGAGAATGCCTGAAGACACTCATGAGGAGAGCGGCAGTGGAACGGGAGGGTGTGATGCAGCACCGCCCCTGTGCAAAATCCTGTGCTTGCTCATCATCTCCTCCTCTTCCTCCTCCTCCTCCTCCTCCTCCTCCTCCTCCTCCTCCTCCTCCTCCTCCTATTCCTCCTCCACATACCTCCGCGTCGTTGTCGTCGTCTTCCTCCTCCGACTCCTCCTGCTCACCCTCCATCTCCCCCTGCGCACATTCCATGCCCTTATGGCCCCTCGTCCGTCGACCCTTCCGTCTCCCCTCTTCCACCTCCTCGATAGCCATCACCCCTAAAACTCCTCCTTCCCCATCCTCGCGGTCCATCCTCCATCGTCTAGCCTCGTGATAGTCTTCCCCCTCGTCCTCCTCCTCCTCCTCCTCCTTCTCCTCCTCATCTTCCTCCCACTCCCCATCATCATCATCATCATCATCATCATCATCATCATCATCATCATCATCATCATCATCATCATCATCATCAACAGCAGCAGCAGCATCATCATCAGTATCAGTATCAGCATCAGTGCCATCATCACCATCACCACAACCACACTTATCATCATCAGCATCAAAGTCATCATCAACTTCATCATCAGCATCATCATCAAAATAATCAGCCTCATCATCAGCATCAGCATCAGCATCAGCATCAGCATCAGCATCAGCATCATTATCATCATCATCATCATCATCATCATCATCATCATCATCATCATCATCATCATCATCGTCATCGTCATCGTCATCAGCATCATCAGCAGCAGCAACACCAGGATCATCATCATCAGCAGCAGCATCAGCATCATCCTCGTCGTCATCATCATGAGCATCATCAAAGTCATCATCATCATGCTCATCATCTTCAGCACCATCGTGATCCCCATCATCATCAGCATCGCCATCATCAACAGCATACTCGTCATCCTCATCAGCATCATCATCATCATCAGCATCATCAATATCATCAGCATCATCATCATCAGCAGCATCACCATCATGATCACCAGCAGCATCATAAGCATCATCAGCATCATCATCACCATCCGCAACAACATCATTGCTATCATCATCGTCGCCATCATCATCAAAATAATCATCAGCATCAATATCATTAGCATCAGCATCAACACCATCACCATCAGTATCAGCATCCAAATGATCAACAGTATCATTACCATCATCAGCTTCATCATCCGTAGCATAATCATAATCATCATCAGCATCGTCGTCATCATCACCATCCTCCTCATCATCATGATCATCATCATGACCAACATCAACGTCATCATCATCATCAGCATCAGCATCATAATCAGCATCACCATCACCATCATCATGATCATGATCATGATCATCATCATCATCATCATCATCATCATGATCATGATCATGATCATGATCATGATCATCATCATCATCATCATCATCATCATCATCATCATCATCATCATCATCATCGCCTTCGTCATCGGCACCGCCTTCGTCATCGGCACCGTCACCTGCTCTCACCTCATCCTTCCCCGTACACCCTGCCTCATCTCCTCCCGCCTCCCCCTGCACGGGAGCAGGGAGGAGTCCCTCCCCCTCATCATCGCCATCGTCTTCGTCATCGGCACCCATCACCCGCCCTCCTCCCCTCGTCCTTCCTCCGTGCCCCCCCCCCCGCAGCCACCGCGCTGCCAGGAGGAACGCCGAGCCAGGAACGCACGGGGGGCGTGTCTGGCGCGCGTGGCCACCGCGAGCCTCGGCCGCGCACCCGTTGCCCAGCCGAGGTCGGGGGCACGGGCAGGCACAGGAGAGGGCCCCCCCCCCTGGAGCCCCCCAGGAAAGGGTCTCCGCTGCAGCGTCTTGGCTGCCGCCCCTCCCCTCCGACGTCGGCACCTCCCGGGATCCCGACCACCTCCCCGGGGCCAGGCGTTTGATTTCCCGGCGGCTGCCTGACGGGCCCGCAGCCGGGCAGGCGGCCTCCAGACGCCGAGCAGCGACCGAACAAGGCTGGCCCCGATTTCAGCGCCTCGGCCCCGCTCTCGCCCCCGCTATCTGGCCCAACATGGCCTCTGGAGTGCTCCACAGGGCCCCACCATGACCCGGTAAATTCCCAACACTGCCCCGGAGACCCGCCCGCGACCCGCCCCCTCACTCTCATCCGCGACCCGCCCCACTCATTCTCATCCGCAACTGCGGCTCAAAATCAAAAGAGGCATCATAGCCTCATCAATCTAGATTGGTCCACTCACGGATCCATTGCAGTTCATTTCCATTGACTTCATTCCATGCGTAGCATGCTCTCCCCCTCTCCCTTTTCGTCCTCGAGCGCGCGAGCGGGCCACGCACCGCGCTTTCGCCGTTCGGCGATGAGCGCGGCGACGCGCGGGCGACGGCGCCGCGGCGAGGCGGGGCGGGGCGGGGCGGGCCGGCCGCTCTCAGGACACCCTGCAGGACCTGGTGGCCTCGGCGGGACGCGGCGTTCGGCCCGCAGGGGGGGGTGCGGCGCCCGCCGCCGCCGAGCTCTCGGAGGCGGCACACGCCCCGACGCGGTCGAACCCGTGGAAAAGAGAGCACGACGCCGCTGCTCGTGCTGCGGTGCTCGGTCTCTCCAGGGGCCCTCGCCGGGCCCCCGGGGCCGTCGAGAAGCGCCCCGGGACGAGCACCAGCCCTGGGGAAGGGGTCTGGGCGTCCGGGGGCCTCCCTCCTCCTCCCTCCTCCTCCTCCCTCCCCTCCTCCTCCCTCCTTCTCCCTCTCCTCCTCCTCCTCCTCCTCCTCCTCCTCCCCTTCCCCCTCCCCCTCCCCCTCCCCTCCTCCTCCTCCCCTCCTCTCCTCCTCCTCCCTCCTTCCTCCTCCTCCTCCTCTCTCTCCTCCTCCTCCTCCTCCTCCTCCTCCTCCTCCCCCTCCTCCTCCTCCCTGCCCCGGGCGCATGTCTGGGTAACACCTCCGACTGCATGATCGTTCGAGTCCGAACGTCGTGCGTGGTCTGTCGACATTGACCTCTGGGCCCGTCATCGGGCCACAGAGGCCGCCAAACAGTGGTCTACCCCCTGGGAAGGAGTTGGGAACCCTGTGGCCGCGGAGAGCAAAGATACGCACATCGGAGGATGTCAGGGAACAGGGACACCGTGCGACGCTCGGGCGTGGTGCCACCGCCCAGGGGTGGGTCCCCCAACCCCGACGGATTCTCGGCTGCGGTGGTCCCTGTTCGATCTCCTCTGAAGCTCGGTTGCCGTCGCTCGAGGGACCTCTCTGAGCGTAGCTGCCCCCCCTACCTGACCTCCCAGAGTGCCAACAAATAGCCCACAAGACGTATACACGACGGTCAGAAAGAGTAGGTAAAAACATAAAGTAGGGAGGCGGACAAAGTATATTGGGTTCATGACCTCACAGAGAGTAACATAACGCAGCCAAAGCATATCCATGATTGAAGCAGTTAAGCGCTTGAAATAGATTGGGACCTGGGAGTCCCAGAATACCCAGCAGGACTGCTTCGACAAAGTGACTCCGCTTCGGTCCTGATGTCATGTTCGCTGTCCTCCTGGGAGGTCAGGGCTCCAAAGCAGCCGCCACAGAGGAAGCGCTGCCACGAGAAGGGCGGAGGCCGAGAAAACCGCAGGACGGCGCCTCGCGTTCGGCAGGCGCACCTTTCTCCGTCGCCGTCGCCGCCGCTGGCGTCGCGGACTCCGTCTGTCTGGGCCCCGGCGACGAACACGACAAACCTGCCGCCGAAAAAGATGACGCACTGCATTTATGAACGTTTGCTTGTTCGGCGTTTCGACATTGAGCGGAAAGGGGCGGAAGGGGGGGGGTCTGGCTCCGGACCTCCGCTGAACGCGACTGCTTGCAACGGTGCAACTCTGCGTCCTGCTTGAAACAGGCGCCCCAAATAGCCAAGACCTAATTACTCCATGGGGGGGAAAGGGGGGGGGGCGAGGAGCCGCGGCCATCGGCAGAACAATGAACAAGAAAACGATCACATTCAGGCGCTTCTGTCTGGCAGCGGCCCCAAGAGGCAGAAGATCGGGTCGACCTTCTCGAGACGCTGCGCATCCATCGGACCCCTCCCAAGACGCCCGAGGGGACGCGCGTCGGAGGAGGGCCAACTGAGACTACGGCGGCCCTCCCGCAAGGCCCAGACCTGCTCTAGAAGAAGAACCAAAAAAAACTGTTGGCGCTCAGCGCGGATTTCTTGGATCTGCGCTGGACCCCCCTCCCTAGCGCGCGGAGCGCGCCGCGGGCGGCGCCACAGGCGCCGCCAGGGGCGCCTGGGCGACGATCCAAGAAATCCGCGCGGAGCGCCAAAAGTTTTTGTTTATGGCGTCTTTTCTTCTTCGATGCTCAGAGTCGGCCCCCAGACCTCTTTTCCTGGAATCCACCCTGGCCCATTTTCCAGGGCGGATCCAGCCGTGGCGACGAGAAGCCTGCATGAGGCCCAGGAAGGACGCTGTCTCGACAGCGAGGGGGCACGACAGGTGGGGAACAGCTCACGGGGGGGGGGGGGAATCGACCTGGTATCGGCGACGCATTGCTGCATTGCCTATAGGTCGAATAGGACCTCGATAGCGAATCCACACCCCGATCGGCGATCAAGATTGGAGGTCGGTGCATGCCCCACTGGGACCATCCCGCGCCTAACATTGCCCCCGCGACTTGCCCTCCCCTCTAGAGCGTGGATGCAGACCGGGACCGGTCCCTCCTAGGCTCGCGCGAAGGCCGCTGAGGCCGCCGGCGTCCTCCCCGTCCCAGCGCCACAGGTCCCGCACGAAGCGCGAGGTCTCGTCGAAGCCGCCGAAGGCGAGCATCGTGATGCTGGCGGCAATGGTCACGGCCCCGTCCTCCACCTCCTCCTCCTCGTCCCCCCCCTCCTCCTCCTCCTCCCTCCTTCTCCTCCTCCTCCTCCTCCTCCTCCTCCCTCCTCCTCCTCCTCCTCCTCCTCCTCCTCCTCTCCTCCTCCTCCTCCCTCCTCCTCTCCTCCTGCCCTCCCTCCCTCCTCCCCTCCCCCTCCCTCCTCCGTTCCTCTCCTCCCTCCTCCCCTCCTCCCTCCCTCCTCCCTTCCCCCTCCCCTCTCCTTCCTCCTCCTCCTCCTCCTCCTCCTCCTCCTCCTCCTCCTCTCTTTCCTCCTGCTCCTCCCCTCCTCGCTCCTCCCTCCTCGCTTTTCTCTCTCCTCTCTCGCCTCTCCTCCTCCTCCACCTGCGCGCTCCCTCTCGTGCGGCGGCCGCCGCACGGCCCCCTTGCGCGGCGGGGCAGCGGGGCCCCCACGGCCCCCAGGACCGCGGGCACGGCGGACCCAGACCCCCTCGAGTTATGAAAAAATCACGACGGGAAGTTTTTCTGTATTTTTGGCCTCTGGGGGCCCTTACCGGCCCTCGGGACCGTCAAAAAACGACTCAGGACGAAAAACCGGTCCCGGGGAATGGGTCCAGACAGCTGGGGGTCGACGTCATGAAAAATTCACGACGTCGGGGGTCTGGGGAGCGGGCTTCCGGGCGGGACTGGTCTTAGGTCGGGCATGTCCCCCTGCAAGGGGAGTTTGGGAGAAAGAATAAAGATAGTCGAAAGAGACTCCCAACTGGTCAAAGAATACTCAAAACATCGTCCCCAGACTATTACTTTGGGATTTTCCTCCTGAAGAGGGACAGACCCGACTCAAGACTGGTTAGCATCGGATCGGAAAATCGGACCAGTTTGACCGTGCATCGGATCGGAACACCGGGCAAAAGGTAGCATGATCGCCGGGATAAGCCGGCGTCGAGTCGGAAGATCAGATCGGCTCGGCATGGGCATCGAATCGGGCTGCATCGGCACGGAGCTGGGATCGGATCGGATCGACAGCGCCGACGGCGCCATGCGAGCAAAAGGACGTGCCAGTTTGGCTCGAGTCGGATCGAACCCGCCAGAATCCACCGACCCCTTGTGGGTCTCTACGCGTGTGAGATTGTCCCCCCCCTAATCCCCCCCCGGGGACACCAAACCACGAGTTCGACCCCCCCCAGTCCCGGACGACCCCCGGGTGAACGCGCCACGGGTGAACGGAGGGCCCCAAAACGGGCCAAGAGGGCCCTAAGGGGCCCCCGAGACGGTCCAAGAGGGCCCCGAAATGCCGAAAGATCGAGTTGGGAAAACGTATGATTTTTGCACATTCGCCTCTTGGGTTTTCACAGCGAACACGATGGCCCAAGAGGCCTCCAAGATCGCCCCACAACGGCCCAGGTGGTCCCAAATACAACTCCAAGACGGCCCAAGAGGGCCCAAAGACGCAAGAAACCCCCAAAACGGCCAAGGAGGGCCCGAGGACGGCCCTAAGAGGGGTCCCTGAAGGAGAACCCGAACGGACATTTCGAACCGTCGGTCCAAAAAGCCCAAACGAGGCCTCCATGAAGCCCCGAAGAGGTCCAAAAACAGCCTCCAGGACGCCCCCGAGAGGCCCCCCACGAGACCCATCAACCATCCGATTGGCCTCAGCCCCACAACCCAAGCACGGTGGCGGGATGCACCCAAGCCCCCCTCCCCCCCATCCCCCGAAAAACCTCCGACGAGACCCCATCAACTTTCCCACTGGCCTCAGACCCGCAAGCCAGGTACGGTGGCGGGATGGGCCGAAGGCCATTCGGTAATCATGCGTCCACGGCGAACAAAACTATCCCGCTGGACCCGAAAGCTAGGCACTGTGGCGGGATGGACCGAAGGCCATTCGATAATCATGCGTCCGCGGCGAACGCTGCGAATGTCACCCGCGGCAAATACAACGACCCCAAAAAAAAATCCGTCTAGACTCTGACACTGCCCCCCTTCGTCCCCCGAGAGCGCCCCGAAGAAACCTCGCGAAACATCCCCGAAACTCCGACGCACAACCCGGCGAGGCTGGACCGATGACTATGCAAGACGTCGCGGTCAGGATGCCCGCACAAGGTCTCCAGAACCAGGGTGCACACATGCGCTCTGGGGGTTCCGGCATAACCCCCAACGGCCCCTGGAGACCCCACCTAGGGCCCCAAGCCTGGATCCTCACTCGTCGCCCCCTCTCCTGTCTTCTGCATCCTCCTCCGCCTCATCCCCTGCCTCCCTCTACCCCTCCTACCCCTCACACTCCTCTTCCTCCTCCTCCTTTTGCGCTTCCTTCTTTTCAGCTTCGTCCTCATCATCAGCTTCGCTCCCCCTCTCGCTCTTCCACTTTGGCCCTACTTCAACGAACCGCAGAACGAGCGCTCGAATGTGCATCATTTGCACGTTTTGCACTTCAGGGTGCCCTTCTCTTCGTCGCGCGCGACATTGTCAGGCCTCACGGAGAACGCCGACTTCAGTAGTTTTCTCTTGCACGTGCCGCTGCACTGATACGCCTGCCAACCATGCGCCGTGAAACCAAAGTCCTTGCAATTGGCGCACACTACTTTCATTACCCTCGTCAGGTTTTCCGTCTCGTGCGCGCCACTAGTGTGCCCCTGCCGCGGGAACTCCTTTTCGAAGCAGCACCTCACTCCTATCCGCATCTGCAGGAGCTACGGGAATTATCCAGCTTCGTGCCTCTAGAACACGACCCCGAAACCACGACTAATACCAAACACCCTTCCCATGAAACCACATACCGCCACCGCGAAAGCGTCTACCATAGCCGGCGATAAAAGCTATGTAAAATTGAGCAGGGACCGACCGTCCCGGCATTCCTGTAGTCATACTACGAAGTGTTCTTAGAACCCAAAAATGTTCCAAGAAAAAACAATGTTCTTAGAACATAAACTCGATGTGATAAAACAAGACAGTCCCAGCCAGAAATGTTCCAAGAACATTTCGTGGGAACCACAAAAGGTTCTTAGAACATTGTTTGGTGGGGCTATAGGCGAGCCGGGACCCTTCGCCACTGCTTGAAACAAGGGGTCGGCGGATGTGGCGCAAGCCTATACAACCGGTATCGACTTGGATCGATCGGATCGACGGGATCGCCGTGGGCCCTGTTCCAAGCAGAGGTAGGGAGCCCAAGACTCCGACGCAGCGACAAAAGCCAAGACGAACCTCTTACGTCGTTTTCGGCCTCTGGCGGCCCTCGCCGGGCCCCGGGACCGTCAACAAAACCTGCGTCCTCGGGATTTTAGGTTTTTCGGTTCTGGGGGAAGAATCCTGACTTTTGGGGGGCCGTATTGAAAAACTAGAAATATCGGTTCTCTGGGAATGAGCCGATGCCCGTGGTGCAGGCCCTTGGAGGGGTCATCCAAATGTCCGGCGGCATGGTTTTTGATTTTAGTCCAGGCGCTGCTCCTCGACTTCGGCCTCCAGCTAATTATGTACCAGGCGGCAAGCAAGCCAACAAGGCGGCAAGCAAGCCAACATAGTTCTGGGGCGGAAGGCTACCCCTCGGGAAGGGGTCGGGACCTCGAAAGCCCCGGACTCAAAAAAACAACGACACCCTTGTGGCGAAGTCACGGCCCCGGCGCGCGGGGTGGCGGTGGGACTCTGCAGTCAAGCCCACCACCATGCGGAGCGCCAAAGTAAGAGGCGAAGCCACTCTTGGGCCGCAGAGGCGCCTGGGTGCACGAGGAGCGCGCAGGTGTGAAGCAGCCATGGAAGGGCCCGAGGAACAGCGAGCGAGCCCCCCTCCGAGCCCGAACTGCTGCTGATTTCAGCGTCCTGGCTGTGGGGACGGGCGCAGCGATGCCCCACTGCCCAGGTCCTTGGAGGGGGAGCGAGCGGACCGAATGCCGCTCTCCCTAGAGGTGCATCCTTGCAGGGCGCTGGCCCACCGACCCAGGCTGCGCTGCTGGCTCGCTGGGCACCCCTCGGGTGCGGCGGCGCTCCGGGGCGGGGCGGCCACGGCCCCGCGGAGCACTCCCTTACTCTGATACAGTGGAGACCGGTCCACAAGAAACCTTTCAATAAGAAACCCCACCCTGAGACCCCAGGATGTCCATTGGTAGCTGGCGCGGGAAAGTCGCGCCGTCCACAGCAAAACATCGAGACCCACGAGACCCGGGGCACCCTGGAGGCAAGCAGGGCGCTTCTTGGCATGGGCCCCCACTGTAATGCACTCGGCGGGCCCTTGCTCTCGCCTCCCCGGGGCCTCCCAACGATGGAGGCCCCCGTCATCTCGGCCGGTTGCGCCACATGGAGCCCTGGTCGGAGCGCACCCCCCCAGAGAGGCCCGGGGAGCGCAAGGTAGCGGTCGGCTGCGCGCGCACGGGGCGAGGAGGGGCACTCTGGGAGAGCGCAGGGGCGCATCTCTCGGAGGGGCTCCGAAGCTCACTCGAGAAGGCTTTCTTCGTTGAGAAAGCATGGAGGGCGTCTATGAAGCCCCCCGCCTCCCTGGAAGGCCGCCCGGCTTGCGGCGCAAGCCGGGCGGCCTTCCAAAAGGACAGCGCAAGCCGCTTGCTCTGTCCTTTTATCAGATTCTGGAGGCGGAAGAGGAAGGACGGGATTTTAGGCTCAGCAATCGACGGGAACGTGCGCTGTCGCTAGTTCGTGCTTCAAGGTGTCGCTGCACTGGGGCACCAACGACAAAAGTGACCTGCCTCACGAAACCTGCCCTGGGGAGTCGGGTCGAAAGCTCCACGGGGCCCGCGTGAAGTGATGACGTCGGAGGTCTGGGCATGAGCGAGGGGTGATGAAGGGGCCCAGGGACACACACACATAAATACACACAAATAAACAGATTCCCCATATATTCCCATATTTTCTTGGTTTCTGTCTTCCCCCCCACTTCCCATATTTTCCCATATTCTCTGGGAATCGACGATTACTGGTGTCTGTGTGTGTTTTTTCCCCTCCCGGGGCGAGGCGGCGCGGGGAGGGCAGGGCGGGGCAAGCGGCTGCGGGGACGGGCAGCAGAGCCGACGGCGGAGAGGCTCGCCGCCCGACCCCGGGCGCCCCCTGCAGCGCAGAGGCACCCACTGACCCCAAGCCTTCCAAGGAGGAGGGGAGGGGGCGGGGCGCATTACCTTTACAAGGGGCGCATTACCTTTACAAGGGGGGCGCATTACCTTTACAAGGGGTTGGAATCGGTGTGCAACGTCCACCTGGAATGACCAAGAAGGCCTGCGCCTCCAGCCGGCAGTTGCTCCCCCGAGCTGGCCAGAAACAGACAAGGCACAGCTCGGAGCAGCGCGTGCGGAGCAAAGAGGCCACGGCAGAGGAGTGTGCGAGGACTGGAAGAACAAGAATGAAGGGGCCCAAGGACACACAAATAAATGCACACAAGTGAAAGAATCCCCCACATTTTCCCAATATTTTCGGGGCTCCTGCCTTCCCGCCCACTTTCCATAGTTTCCCATATGTTCTGGGAGATCGAGGATTCATTGTGTCTGTGTGCTTCTTTTCCTCCTGAGGGAACGCAGAGAACGGGGAAGGAGGCAGGGAGGGGAGATGCAGGGAACAGGGGCCTCCTTGAGGGGGTGCGAGTGGGTGGGGTCGGGGGATCGCGCCGCATCGCCGATGCATCGGCCCTATCGGCGTCGAGAAGTTCGGACTCGACGTCGAGACGCATCGTGGATGTATTGGCGATACGGCGCGATCCTCCGACCACATCTACTCGGACCCCATCTGGGAGACATAGAGCTTGCCATCGCCCGAGCGTCCACTCCCAGTGCATTTGTTGGTCTCGTGCGTGCTTGTTTTTTGCCAAGCGATCCAGGATGCTCCTCGACAGTCCTCGCCGAGAAAAACATCGCACACGCCCGAGGGATGCCAAGAGCGTGAAGGGCGGGGGGGGGGGACAGGACAATCGGGAGAAGGGGGGGGGCGGGAAAGGGGACACGCGCAGGGACAGTGCCAGACCCCCGACGCCATGATTCTCTCCTAACGTCGACCCTCCCAGGAGGTCTCGCCCCACTCCCCGGCCCGATTTTTCCTCCCGAATCGTCCCTGGGCCCGACAATCCAGGGCCCCCGGGAGCCCAAACAACATGGCGAGGCAAGGCCCTCCACCGTGAGCTGTTCACCGACAGAGCACGACCGCGAGAGGGTGGAAAGGGGGACCCCCCCACGAGGCGCGCCCCCTGAGCCACCTCCGCGAGCGCGCCCGCCCTGTTACGCAGCCCTCCCGCCCTTCCCACACCCCGTCCGTCCGACCCCCCTCCTTGCCCCCCGCACCGAGGGAAAGGCTCGATAGGGCGGATCTGGAGTCAGGGCGGGGGAGGGCGGAGCCGCGCCGCGGGAGGGCCCTGCTCGAGGCCGCGGGGGCGCGAGCGAGAGCGAGCGAGCGAGCGGGCGCGCGCGCGGGGGGGGGGCCTGCCGAGGGTCGGCGCCACCACGGCGGCAGCCTGCGGGCCGCACGGCGAGGGCGGGCGGGCGGGGGGGAGGAGGAGGAGGAGAGGAGGAGGAGGAGGAGGAGGAGGAGGAGGAGGAGGAGGAGGAGGAGGAGGAGGAGGAGGAGGAGGAGGAGGAGGAGGAGAGAGGAGGAGGAGGAGGAGGAGGAGGAGGAGGAGGAGGAGGAGGAGGCGGAGGAGGAGGAGAGGAGGAGGAGGAGGAGGAGGAGGGGCGGGGGAGGAGGAGGAGGAGGAGGAGGAGGAGGAGGAGGAGGGAGGAGGAGGAGATGGCTGGGCGGGGGGGAGGGGCGGGGAGGGGAGGAGGAGGAGGAGGAGGAGGAGGGGGTGGCGGGGGCGGGGGCAGGCCTCGGGAAAACATAGCGAGCACTCCTGCCACATTCATCAGTGAGCGCCTGCCCCTCCCCCCAATGTTCAAAAATGGCGGTGGGTCTGAGGAGTTGCACCTCGACCGCAGTCTCCCCCGCGCGTGCCAGCTGTGAATTTTGGGGGCAGGGGGGGGGGGGGTCACAAATTGTTTCCCTCTACCGGATGGCTGCGCGAGGGAGGGGCGGGGGGGGGACAACATGCAAATGCGACTGATAGCACAAGCGTGCTGGCAAGGACGAAGGCCTTCGCGATGACTCCGCCTGAAGGAAGGCCACGAGCAGGGCGGGCTGGAACCTGTGTGTAGTAGGGGGGTTCGAGACCCGTCGGCGCAATACTGCCTGTGACGAGCACCGCCGCAATTACCTGTGACCAAACATTGTGGTCGAAGGCGACTGCACAACACCTCTGTACCCCAAACAAATGTGAAACAGCGAGGAGCCACGCAGAAATGGTAATTTGCCGGTGTGCGTATGGAACAGCGCAGAGCCACACACACACACACACGCGCACACGGAGAACATTCGTATCCCTGTGTGGTTCCTCACTATCTCATGGGTCCCCAAGACGAGCCCCGAGCTCAAGAGGGCGTGCGCGCCGGCTTCGGGCCGGCCTCCGGGCGCGCGCGTGGGATGGCGGGCGCCCGCAGCGGCGCGAGGGCGGCTTCCCAGGTCGAAGCTGCCGTTGCCGCTGACCCTGCGGGCGGGCGCCCTGAGGCGCCGCACGGCCGCAGCCGCCGGGGCTGCCGTGGTTGCTGCGGTCAGGGCGGCCCTGGCGCGGCGGCGGAGCGCGCGGGCTCGCCCCGCCGAGGCTGCTGCTGCTGCAGCGGCCTCTCGCGGCGGCGGCAGCAGCGGAGGAAGAAGGGGCCCGGCCGCGCGCCGGAACAGGCGAGGGCGAGCGAGGAGCGGGCGCGCCGGAGCGGGCGAGCGCGTGCGGTGGGGGGGCGGTGGGTCGGCGCCGGCGCCGGAGCAGGAGGCTTTCGGAGAGGTGGACGGCTGGTCGGTGGGCTCCGACCAGCAGGAGGAGGAAGGGGACCCCGGCAATGGAGGTCAGAGGCCCGTGGCCAGGGGAGCCCCCCGAGAGGGAGCCCACGCTCTGGGCGATGCGCGCCCAGCACGAGGAGTCCAAGGCGGTGCGGCCTCGTGAACGGCAAGGGTTCCCAGCCCTGCTGGCATGGACGATCCGCGATGGCAGGCTCGTGGGGCCTAGGCCGCGGTGGAGTGGCCGACCCAGCGCGCGGGAGTAACCGGTCGGGACCCGCACGCTGGAGGGCAAGCATCTTGCCGCGTGCAAGCGGGCTCACCTGGAGATCGTGCAGAGGCCTCTGGAGGTTTCCCGTGGCCGTGCCGAATTGGGCGCATGAGGTACAAGGCTTGGTGCATGGAATTTGTGCACACACACACACACACACCATCGCGGCTGTCTATTTTTGGAACGGGCCCCTTCTGTCAGTCGGGGGGCCGCGCACAGGAACGATTTCTTCGGGCCGCGCTTCGCTCCATTCCGGCGAGGTCATCTCGAGGGCCTTCTCGTCGAAGTCAACACATTTACGTCATGGGTTCCCAGATGTGCCAGCAGTCACAGAGACGAAGCACGAGAAGGGAGGGAGGGAAGGGCCACTGGGAAGGAGCAGGAGCAGGGGAACGCGGGGAGCAGGGCGGGGGTTGGTATCAGAGAGCGTGGGGGAGGGGGGGGGCAGGAGGAAGAGGAGATGGAGGGTGGAGGAGTTCGCGCGGGAGAAACTGGATGACGAGGGGCAAGAGGAGCTAGAACGGGAGGACAACGGCGACGATGACGACACAGGAGGGGGAATCAGAAAGAGTAGGACGATGTTGAGAAGCATGGTCAGAGGTAACGCATGGCGCCCAGGCAACGTCGGCGCCTGATCCCCAAAACAAAAAGATGCGAGAGCGTCCTCATGCGATGGCTGGCTACCCCACTTGTTGTCGCCGTCGCTATCGCTGCGTCATCGCCGTCGTCACCGTCGACGTCATCCCTTGAAAGCTGACATCGCGAGAGAACTGGCGACGACGTGCAACGATACGACTAGAACTCCAGGCCTCGGAAAAAATAGCGAGCACTCATGAAACATTCATCTGTGAACGCCTCCCCCTCCCCCCAATGTTCAAACATGGCGGAGGGTCTGATGAATTGCACCTCGACCGCAATCTCCCCCGCGCGTGCCAACTATGAGTTTTGGGGGCGGGGGGGGTCACTAATTGTTTCCATCTACCGTCTCGACGCAATCTTGTTGCGACATCGCCTGGGCAGGATCGATCCGTGAGGGCCCTTGGGCCCCAAAGACAAGGAGGAGGCACGCAGCCCGTCGTGCCTCACGTTGCACGAGACCCGCCGGAGGTCAAGATCCCTTCGCCCAGACCTCCGACGACCTGATCTCTTCGAGTGGCAGGCCCCCGGGAGCTCGTGCGACCCGCCCCCGCTGCGCTTCGTCCTGGGCTTGTCTCGCAGCTGGCGGACGGGGCCGCTGAGGCCGGAGACCGTGGACAAAATCAGGCGTCTCGGTTCTTGTCCATGGCGCCAGGGGCCTGGGCTTTTAAGTCGGGCCTGTCCCCCCATACAGAGGGATTTTCGGCAAAAAATGAAAAAAATAGTCTGGGGACTATTTTTTGAATATCTTGTTGACCTTTTTGGGGTATGTTTGGGGTGTTTCTTATTTGTCGTCGAGAATCCCCCTGTAGGGGGGACAGGCCCGACTGAAGCCTGGGCTCGCGGGGCCTCCGTGACGCCTCCGCCACAGGCTGCCGAGCCCTCGCTGCGCGCCGCGTGCCTTCGTGCGGGGGTCGAAGGGCGCGCTGGGCGCCAGCTGCGTCCAGCTCACAAACCTGGGGGGGCGCCCGCTCCCCGCGTCGACGTCGCGCCACCAAGGAGCGGGGAGCGGAGCGCGGAGGAGGATGCGCAGAAGGAGGCGGGGCACGGGGACAGAGCGGGAGGCGGGAGGGAGGACGAGTGAGTTAAGAGGAGGGGGAGGGGAAGAGTGCTCGTGCGAGGGGGGGGGAGGGGGGCGGGGAGGAATGAATTGGGAAGGGGGCTGAGGAGATAACGAGGTGGAGATGGAGGGGCGGCACAGACGGGGCATGAGGACGAGGAGCGGGAAACAAATATCTATAGAATCCCTCCCTTATCCTTGCTCCCGTCTTCACTCTCCAGCAACCGTCCTCCCTCCCATGGCCACTCTGTACTGACCAGCTCTGCAACGGGGGAGGGGAGGAGGGGGGAGGGATGCTTTCAGAGGTGGCGGGGGGAAAGGGGAGGAGCACGAGGAGAGGGAGAGGGGGAAGGAAAAGAAGGAGGAACATCCATCCTGCTACTGGTCCTCCTCCTCCTCCTCCTCCTCATTTTCCTGTTCCTCCTCCTCTCCTTCCCCCTGCTAACCCTACACCCTCCCCCCACCCCCTCCCCCTCATCATGACATCACCCTCCCATCCCCGGCCCGGCACCCTCCTCCTCCCCCTTCTCCCCCTGGCTCCTCCCTCCCATCATGACTCTGTCTGGCCAACCGCCACCTCCTGTGAAAGGGTAGCGGTGAGGCCACGATTTGCACTACAATGTAGGCAACTCGCGCCCGCCATCTGCCCTGGCCTCCCTGCGGCGCTCATCGGCACGTGCCCGCAAAGCCTCGCAAGTAACCGACATCTTTGGGACGATAACGATGTCATGGCACGATTGGCTCAGAATACGGTTCAGGAGCTCAGGAGTATCTAGCGGCTCTGGCTTCTGCACTTCGTGTGGAGCATGCGGCAAGTGAGGAGATCCTGGAGACCCTGGAGGCACAGAGCGTGGCGCTACCATGGCCTCCTGCTCCTCTGAGGCCCTCGGCCCCTGGGCCCTGGGCCCCCCTCTCTCCGCGAGCGGGACCCGTCCAGCTCGAAGTTCCCGCACCACAGGTCGTTGTGGGCCTGGATCGGCTGCTCCACGCTGGTCGTCTCGCCGCGGAGGGGTGGACGACGACGGCCATCGCGGCGACGGCCCATGCGACGAGAAGCGCGACTGCGAAGACGGAGACGACGGCGGCGAGGACGGCGAGCGACGACGCCAGCGACGAGGCCAAGGCCTGGGGGGGGGGAGAGCGGGTTAAGGGCAGGTGTGAGGTGGGCGTTCTTGCTCCAGTGGGATCCAGGAGTCCGGGAAGTTCTGCGCACAGGATGGTCAGAGCGAAGAGGAGCGAGGAAGGGGAGAAGGAGGCGACCCCGCCACAGCTCCCAGACGGGCAGGGAGCGTGGCATGGACAAGACATCGAGCCTCTGGAGGACAAGACCCTTACCTACCCGTGCCCCATCCCTCCTGGCCGCCAAGAGTGACAGAACGCGGATCCACGAAGGAGGAGTTTGGGAGAGTCTGGCGCGTGAGCAGCAGTGTGCAATTAGCATGGTGCACCATGCTGCTGCAGACGTTTTCCTCGAACTCCCGACTATGTAGCGGCCCCCGGGTACTGCGAAGGCTCGGACTGCCCCCACCCGAGAACGCGAGGCGGGATACCCAGGAAACACATGCAACACTTTGGGCCCGGCGGCCGCGGTGTGCAGTCGCCATTCCTCGAAGGCACAAGGCAGGCTACCCGGGGAAACACTGTGGAGGAGGAGGAGGAGGAGGAGGAGGAGGAGGAGGAGGAAGAGGAGGAGGAGGGGGAGGAGGAGGAGGAGGAGGAGGAGGAGGAGGAGGAGGAGGAGGAGGAGGAGGAGGAGGAGGAGGAGCTGGCGGCCGCGGCATGCCGCCGTCATTCCTCGAAGGCGCGAGGCGGGACACGCAGGGGGCACCGGCACACACTCTGGGCCTGGCGGCCGCGGTGTGCAGGGTGTGCGAGGCGGGTCTGGCGCCCCTTCCACGGCACCGGCCTTGCAGACGTACAGTCGGGGCCTTGACCTAAGGAACCCCAAATAAGGAACGAGGCCCCTTTTTTTCCATAAGTTAAACTTCGATTTCCTATCGAAAACATAAGGAAAACCTGAGGCAAGCTGTGAAACACTCAAGGAACGCGGAGCCCCTCCCCAACCAAAAGGGTTCCTTCTTCAGGGCCCCGACTGTACTGCAGCGGATCTCTGCGTGGATCCTGGCAGTGCAAAGCCCCGACACGGCGAACGAGAAACGCTCTGCGATGCTGGCGCCATGACCCCCTCCCTTGAATCTAGCAGCCCGATTCTGTCGGAGAGGGAAGAACTGCGATCATCGCACCTCTCGGTTGGAATCGTCCTGCAATCGGTTGGGGCGGGGAAACGCCCCCCTCCCTCCCCAAACCCTCGATGTCATGGCTTCCTCATCCGTGACCGGTTCTTCATCCGGAGTCGTCTTCTGACGGCCCCGGGGCCCCCAGAGGCACAGAATGGCAGGAAAACCTCGCGTCGTGATTGTTTATGTTTTGCTTATGTTTCGAGGAGGAGGAGGAGGAGGAGGAGGAGGAGGAGGAGGAGGAGGACAGGGAGAAGGAAGAAACAGAGGAGGAGGAGGAGGAGGAAAAGTGAGGAGGAGGAGGAAGAGGAGGGAGACGAGAGAGAGAGAGAGAGAGAGCGAGAGAGTGTGAGAGAAATAGAGAGAGAGAGAGAGAGAAAGTCAGAGAGAGGGAGAGAAAGCGGGAGAGAGGGAGAGAAAGCGGGAGAGAGGGAGAGAAAGCCGGAGAGAAAGCGAGAGAGAGAGAGGCATACAGAGAGAGAGAGGGCAATATAACCACAGAGAGAGGGAGAGAGAGCGCGCGCGCAAAGATTCGGACGATGGGCTCGTCCTGGCAAGCAAGTTACAAGCACCTGCTGGGCCAGCCTCACAATGGCGGGAAACGCCGCTTGAAAGACAGGAGTGGAAAATCCTCCCCGCTGGCGCGGTCGAAAGGAACCCCGACCAGAACAGCTGGCGGGATGTAGCGATCAGGGTGTGTCACACCCCGTCTGCACACCCGGAAAGTGCAAGAGACTCCGGCGATAAGCACGATCTGGCACGCGCGACTCGGAGCCCGTAGAAGAGGAAGGCCCCGCATTGGGGCATCCCCGTCGGCGGCCGAGCGCCTGGTCTGCGGAACAACTTGCCAGGTGCTCACGCAGCGTAGGGGTGAAAACGGGTGCGAATGGCCCAGCCCGGCGAGGGGGGTGGGGTGCAGGGGCCCCCCCCGCGAGAACTTATTAGGCTCACGCGGGGACGACTGAAATCGGAGGCCCGACCTCTCTTCGAAGCAATTCGGAACCCAGCGGGAGACATATGCCTCGACCCGCACCTCGCGCGGAACGCTGTTTCGCTGCAGCGCGGCAGAGGCAGTCCGCACGCGCGCCCAGGCAAGCCCGGCAGAGGGGAGCAAAAGAAGGGGGCCGCGGATGGGGAGGAAAAGGGGGGGCAGGCTCACTCACGCGGCGGGGCCGCGGCGGGTCGCGGGGGGCGGCCGAGCCAGTGTTGCAGGCCTCGCGTGGGACACGCCTGCAGTGGCGCCGCGCAGGCCGCGCATGCACACCTGGCTGCGAACGCGCGTGGAACTTTCGATCATCTCCGCGCAGTTCACTCACCGATTTTGGCTTTGCCCCCTCCCTGGTTGAGCCCACTGCCAGTGTGGCCGCGCGCCCAACGGCGGCCACGATGTCCCCAGATCCCACGGCGGCGTCTAGTTCAAGACGGCCTTATGCAAAAAAGGACGAACGTTCATTGACTACGTAATAATCACGAGTCCATGTGTTTTTCTTCGCAAGGGCGACTACGTATTAGATCATCGCCTCCGAAAAAAAGGCAAATCTTTCGCAACTACACAAGCATGTGTTGGAACCTTCGTCTGTTCTCTTGCATGACCCGTTCTCATTCCGAGGAAGTCCACCGTCGACCCTCCGCCGCGCGGCCCTTCAAGAGCAATGCGCGCAGCGGCGGCCATAGTTGCGTCCGCCGCCCAGCCTGGCCCGACTACAACGACGCCCGCTCGCAACACCACCGGGGACTTGCGCAAGAACATCGAGGCACGGGCAAAGGGAAGCACGAAGCGCACCGCCTCCGAATCAAGAGACGGGCTGGACACCAATGGGGCAGGATACTTCTAGATTCTCGAGGGCGGGGGCTGGGCCTCGGATTCGACGGGTGGTTCTGACCTGAAGGGCGGCAGGGCCCGAGGACCAGCGGCCGTGCAACCACTGCCCCCCTCCTCCGCCTGGCCCCACGCCGACAGCGCGAGGAGGCACCCCCAGCGAGGGGCCGGGCAGGCACAGGGGAGGTGCGGGGGCCCTGCCACCCCTCGGCGCACGAAGGAGTTTACGCCCCCCATGGGAGGCCGAGTGCGGAGAAGGTGAAGAGCGAGGCCTCGGGAGCGCAGTGCTCGCGCACGGAGCCTGAGGCACTGGTCCGCGGTGAGCGCGTCGGGCCAAGGGGGGTCCGAGGGCGGGTGGGAGGTCGGTGACCGAAGTGGGGTGAATCAGGTAGGCGACAGGCGTCCAGAAGGAGATGGCGCGACGGCCTGGTGAGAACGGATGCCGTCGGGGACCGTGGGGGGCCGTAGGAGGCCTCTGGCCTGGCGTACGGTGGTGTCGCCGTCGCTGGCGGGAAGGCCTGGTGGCCTCCGTCTCCTCCGCCTCCTCCTCCTCCTCCTCCTCCTCCTCCTCCGCCTCCTCCTCCTCCTACTCCGCCTCCTCCTCCTCCTCCTCCTCCTCCTCCTCCTCCGCCTCCTCCTCCTCCGCCTCCGTCTCCGCCTCCGCCTCCTCCTCCTCCGCCCCCTCCTCCTCTTCCGCCTCCCTCCCCCCGCCTTCCTCCTTCTCACTCCTCTCCTCCTCCGCCTTCCTCCTCCTCCTCCTCCTCCGCCTCCTCCCTCTCCTCCTCGTCCCTTACCCGCATCCTGATCTCCTCCTCCTCCTCCTCCTCCTCCTCATCTCATCATCACATCATCCTCATCATCATCAGCAGCAGCAGCAGCATCCTCCTCCTCCTCCTCCTCGCTCCTCCTCCTTCTCCTCATCATCATCATCTCATCATCATCATCATCATCATCATCATCAATCATCAACATCATCATCATCATCATCATCATCATCATCATCATCCATCAATCATCATCATCCATCATCATCATCTCATCATCATCATCATCAGCAGCAGCAGCAGCAAAGCCCATCATCATCATCATCATCATCATCATCATCATCATCATCATCATCATCATCATCATCATCATCATCATCATCAACATCATCTCATCATCATCATCATCATCATCATCATCATCATCATCATCATCATCATCATCATCATCATCATCATCATCATCATCATCATCATCATCATCATCATCCTTATCCTCATCGTGATCATCCTCATCCTCATCCTCATCCTCATCCTCGTCCTCATCCTCATCCTCATCCTCATCCTCCTCAGCATCATCATCAGCAGCAGCATCATCAGCATCATCAGCATCATCATCGTCATCCTCATCATCATCATCATCATCCTCACCATCGTCGTCCTCTACTCCTCATCCTCCTTCATCCTCCTCACATCATCATCATCAACATCCTCAAATATCATCATCATCAGCAGCAGCAGCATCCTCATCATCACCATCACCACTATCTCCATCACCATCACCATCACCATCACCATCACCATCACCATCACCATCACCATCACCATCACCATCATCATCATCATCATCATCATCATCATCATCATCATCATCATCATCATCATCATCATCATCATCATCATCATCATCATCATCATCATCATCATCATCATCATCATCATCATCATCATCATCATCCTCTGTTTCTTCCTTCTCTGTGTCCTCCTCCTCCTCCTCCTCCTCCTCCTCCTCCTCCTCATCCGCATCCTCCGCCTCTTCCGCGTCCCAGACGGAGGCTGGTGGGGGTGGCTGCAGGTGCCCCTCAGAGTCCGCGGACGCTCCAAAGGACGGCCGCAGCGGACTGCACCTGGGGCGACATCGCGGGGACCGCCTGGAGTGTCGGCCTGCCCAAAGATC